GCTGTTGATCACGTGATTCAGTAGTTTGACCACGTGACTGCGTTTTGTGGTTGACGAAGAAAAAGGAAAATAATAACGAAGGCGAAACCTAATCTCGCCATTCCTATGGAACCGTGAGGAATTAGTGGAAAATCATCGATCTCATTGCCCTGTACACCTATCTTTAGGATGTATTTAAAAACGCTACGTAATCACTTGGGAAAATTTTAAGTCCCATTTTACAAAAAAGTTGTTTGGAGTTTTTATTCTCTTCTTCTATGAAGCAGAATACTGTTCTTCCTTGATCCAAAAGGGTTTTAGCAAGATGGTAGACGACAGCCATGGCCAATCCACCTCTTCTGTGACATTCTAATGTATGGAGCATTGAAATGCAGCCATATTGCGAAATCAACCCCCATGAGACAAGCTTGTCAGTGTCTTGACAATACACCCCAGCAGTAACTGAGTGGGAAATCAAGTTTTTAAATATCTTCAAAGAATTAGGGTTGCCCCCAAATTTCCAGCTTCCATCAATTAGGACTGCATCTTGAAGCCTCAAAGGGGCTATGAAGTAACCAGGTGGACATTCACTAGAAGATAACACTTCAATTAAAGTTTGCATTGATACACTTGAATGCTGTAACTCAGTGTCACAAATCAAACAAATAATTATTAGAAGTTGCCCCACCCTTGCGCATGTCCCATGAATGACATTCAATCAGTTTTAAATTGAAGTTGTAAACAGAAATAGAGCTACCAAAGAAAACTCATGGGCACATGCCAACTTTTTATGCTCACATCAGCTTAACTTCTTAACAAAAAAATTATCAATGCAAATAATAACAAATAAACTACTTATGCTTCTCTTTCAACTCACTGTTTTTCTAAGTTAGTGACATCAATCAATGCAGCGATATATGGGAGTGCTTTAAGAGTGACTTGAAGTCCACTTCCATTCAATTTAGTGATCTCATTTCCTATATCTAAACATCTGGGGTCACCTGCAACAAAAGAAATACCCAATTAAGGGCATTGATAAATACTGTCTTCTCTGTAAATGTTAAAATAGGCTGGTCATACCCACAAGTATTTCTGGTGAGGATGTAAACCTGCTGAGATGACTTCTATCCAGTGTCATTTTCAGCTTCTCTCTGGAACAACTTGCGAAAATTACAGATGGAGGAATTCTACAATCAATCTGAATTAAGAAAAAATATATACGTATACTAAAATTCATAGTTAGTATACCACTTGCTCCTAGATGTTGTCAAGATGGTGACATTTATAGGTCATTATGATTTGACTTAATTTACATTTGCAGTAATGGCAACAAGAGACTAAAGGAACACCTTATGGCAAAAGTTAATAGATCTCCACATGGCCTGGGGCTGAAACATCTACTTCCTCAAAAAGGGAGATGAATACTAATGAAATTGTTTCTGTTCCCTCTAAAATGTGTAGGTTTCAAATGATTATGATGACGATGATGATGACTTTCTTTAAACTCGGATGAAAATGAGGCTTGTTAGGCCTCTAGCATTAGAGATGCTAATATACCGAGGGGAAAATATATGAATATAAATTACAGAGTAATAAGTTCTTACTACAACATTTAGTGATAAAAACGAGGGATAAAGAATATGAACGACATTTCGACCGCTCCACGGTCATTTTCAAGTTGGAGTTCATGAGTAAATTTCCGCATATATACCATTCCTGAAACAATGGAATGAAGGTAAAAGCTAAGTATTTACATATAAACAATAGAGCTAATAACTAATAATAAAGTGCAAAAATGAAGTGTAAATAAGCGGTGAAAAAGATAAAAATTAATGATTAATATGAAGTGTTAAGCAAACAGCTTCGCGCGAATAGAATCACTCTGTTTGTTCAGTTTTGGCTAAAGGTCCCGAATATAAAACACTCCTAAAATCAAACAATCGAACTTAAAGTTCTTTGCGATTTCACATGGTTCGATTCCATGTTATCTTACATGGTTGCCGATTACCGATCGTTTATGCTCCTCCACACGTTGATGTAGGCGTCGGCTTGTAAAGCCGACATAATCTGTATCGTACAGATCACACTTAAAGAGATATACAACGTTTTGTTGGTTGACAATTGGAGGTTTAAGTTCCTTAGCTTTAAGCTCATCTTTGATCTTGCGGCTTCAGTGTAAAGACAGGATGTAAGGTAAAGTCTGTTTACGAGCCTAGTGGCCCATTAGGCCGGTGCTTGACTCCGGTTTCTGTAGCATGAAGCTACTAGGAGTATTTCTACTCCCCCCTGGATGGGATGCCAGTCCATCGCAGGGTTACTCCCAGCATTAAATTGCCGATACCCATTTAAACACCTGGGTGAAGAAAGGCACTGTGAGAGTAAAGTGTCTTGCCTAAGAACACAACACAATGTCCCGGCCGGGGCTCGAACCCGGACCACTCGATCCGGAGTCGAGTGCATCAACCATGAGGCCACCGCGCCTCCACTAAAGACAGGATGTACTTCGTTATTTATCTTCCGGCTGAGATCACTAAGTTGTTCGCGTAGTTTGTTTGCTGATCTCTGATCCTTGAAGGGCAGGGGTATCCTAACGGGAATTTTAACTGCTTGTTGCGGGGGACGCGTGCTCTTCATCACCTTCAATTCAACAAAAGACCTGATGTGTTTTGCATGAGGGGCTCTGGGTAATGCAAACGTGTGAAGATCTCCTTTTAGTAACAACAAACATATGAAACATATGAGTGAACTGCGGTTATGAGACGCATATAAGAACGATCCTTCGCAGTAAAGCACTATTTGAGCAATAGTGGAAATCAGACCTGAAAAAAATTTCAGGCCTGTACGGGATTCGAACCACTGACCTCTGCGATACTAGTGCAGCGCTCTACCAATTGAGCTAACAAGCCAACTGGGAGCAGGCCATCAAATTAANATAACCGCAGTTCACTCATATGTTTCATATGTTTGTTGTTGTTCGATTTATCATCTACGGGTTTATATCGAATTAATTTGATGGCCTGCTCCCAGTTGGCTTGTTAGCTCAATTGGTAGAGCGCTGCACTAGTATCGCAGAGGTCAGTGGTTCGAATCCCGTACAGGCCTGAAATTTTTTTCAGGTCTGATTTCCACTATTGCTCAAATAGTGCTTTACTGCGAAGGATCGTTCTTATATACGTCTCATAACCGCAGTTCACTCATATGTTTCATATGTTTGTTGTTGTTCGATTTATCATCTACGGGTTTATATCGAATTAATTTGATGGCCTGCTCCCAGTTGGCTTGTTAGCTCAATTGGTAGAGCGCTGCACTAGTATCGCAGAGGTCAGTGGTTCGAATCCCGTACAGGCCTGAAATTTTTTTCAGGTCTGATTTCCACTATTGCTCAAATAGTGCTTTACTGCGAAGGATCGTTCTTATATACGTCTCATAACCGCAGTTCACTCATATGTTTCATATGTTTGTTGTTGTTCGATTTATCATCTACGGGTTTATAGCTCAATTGGTAGAGCGCTGCACTAGTATCGCAGAGGTCAGTGGTTCGAATCCCGTACAGGCCTGAAATTTTTTTCAGGTCTGATTTCCACTATTGCTCAAATAGTGCTTTACTGCGAAGGATCGTTCTTATATACGTCTCATAACCGCAGTTCACTCATATGTTTCATATGTTTGTTGTTGTTCGATTTATCATCTACGGGTTTATATCGAATTAATTTGATGGCCTGCTCCCAGTTGGCTTGTTAGCTCAATTGGTAGAGCGCTGCACTAGTATCGCAGAGGTCAGTGGTTCGAATCCCGTACAGGCCTGAAATTTTTTTCAGGTCTGATTTCCACTATTGCTCAAATAGTGCTTTACTGCGAAGGATCGTTCTTATATACGTCTCATAACCGCAGTTCACTCATATGTTTCATATGTTTGTTGTTGTTCGATTTATCATCTACGGGTTTATATCGAATTAATTTGATGGCCTGCTCCCAGTTGGCTTGTTAGCTCAATTGGTAGAGCGCTGCACTAGTATCGCAGAGGTCAGTGGTTCAAATCCCGTACAGGCCTGAAATTTTTTTCAGGTCTGATTTCCACTATTGCTCAAATAGTGCTTTACTGCGAAGGATCGTTCTTATATACGTCTCATAACCGCAGTTCACTCATATGTTTCATATGTTTGTTGTTGTTCGATTTATCATCTACGGGTTTATATCGAATTAATTTGATGGCCTGCTCCCAGTTGGCTTGTTAGCTCAATTGGTAGAGCGCTGCACTAGTATCGCAGAGGTCAGTGGTTCGAATCCCGTACAGGCCTGAAATTTTTTTCAGGTCTGATTTCCACTATTGCTCAAATAGTGCTTTACTGCGAAGGATCGTTCTTATATACGTCTCATAACCGCAGTTCACTCATATGTTTCATATGTTTGTTGTTGTTCGATTTATCATCTACGGGTTTATATCGAATTAATTTGATGGCCTGCTCCCAGTTGGCTTGTTAGCTCAATTGGTAGAGCGCTGCACTAGTATCGCAGAGGTCAGTGGTTCAAATCCCGTACAGGCCTGAAATTTTTTTCAGGTCTGATTTCCACTATTGCTCAAATAGTGCTTTACTGCGAAGGATCGTTCTTATATACATCTCCTTTTAGTGTTCGCCTTCTCGATGAAATGACCGTGGAGCGGTCGAAACGTCGTTCATATTTTTTATCGCTCGTTTTTATCACTAAATAAATTACAGAGTTTAAAAATTATTATAAGCCTAAATATAAATAATGATAAAAAATTACAAATTACTTAGTTTTCTTATCTCATTCCTGAAAGGGCCAAATCCGGCCATTAATCTTAGCTTATCAGGTAATGCATTCCAAGCCTTAGCAGCAATGTAAGAAGTCGATTTAAGGCCGTAAGTTGCGGTCTTAGCTTCAGGTAAAACAAGTTTGTTTTGCCCCTAAGATTTTTCTTATTTTCTCTTACTTGAAATAAAGATTGAATATACTGAGGCAAATTGAGGGCCTTAAAAATTATTAAAAGCATATCTTGTTTCCGTCTGCAACTTGATGAGTAACCAATCTTATAACATAGACTATCATATCCGTTGGAAAAGTCATTAAACACGTATCTAAGGGCCCTCTCGTGTAATCTCTCTAATCGGTCTATCTTCTTTGAGACAGCTATTCCAAATGGAACTACAATAAGTAAAGTGAGGCATGATAAATGCCCTATATATACGTATCTTTGACGAAAACGAAAGAATGTGTTTGAATCGATTAAGTACATCAATTTGTTTACTTACTTCCTTCATTAACTTAGATATATGACTCTTAAAATTTAACTTATTGTCATTTACAACCCCAAAGAGTTCCACATTATCAGTCATGGTGATGATGACAGTGCTTACATGTTCAAGTAAAATATAAGTAAAGTATGAGTAAGTAAAGTATGAGTAAGTAAAGTATGGGTAAGTAAAGTACTAGTAAGTAAAGTATGAGTAAGTAAAGTATGAGTAAATAAAGTATGAGTAAAATAAAAAGCACCAAAAACAGAGGAAGGTTCTCACCAATGCTTGATAAGCTATATTTTCAAATATTACTAGGTCAGGGTCAGGCCAATGGCTTACATAGATGCGACCACTTGTTACCTCTGGACTTTGCTTCATTTGCTCAAGGCATCCCAATATCTAAAACAAGACAACTAAAACTCACAAATAACAAAACAAAAGCTTAAAATAAATATAGGATACTTCTGCTCAACCAATAAACAAATTGACCGTTTTCATAATTAATCTACAAAAAAGTAAACAGTCTCTAAAATGTTTTGGATTCATTTTGATCTAAACTATGACAAAAACAGATTAACAAGTTATGGCTGCATATTGATCAATTTAAAAAAAGATAGATCTCCCCAGGAGTATTTGGCCTGCATCTCCGAAGGCAGCGTGGTTGAGTGGTTAGTGTGTTGGACCTGTGATCCAGTGCTCCTGGGTTCAAGTCCCGCCCTGGCCACTACCTGGATTTGTTTCAGGGTAGCCCTGAGTTTCAAACCCTCGGCCATGCTTGTAATATAGCCAACTGGTTTGCCTTTGGCCAGTTGGGATTCTTAACAATGTTATTTTCAATTTGAATTGTTTGTTTCAGTTGTTTGGTGGAAAACCTGTAAACTAGCTTCTGGCTAAGTGTTTCTCCACATTAAAAACTGTTTATTTTTTTATCATTATTATTATTTTATTACATAGCTGAGGACTATTGGTTGCCACACCAACTATTGTCTATCGCCTTATTTTAATGAATTCATGACAAAGAATGTCAGTATCAATTCTTGATTGCTTGCATGATTTTTTTTAATGAAAATCTGGAGCACTGACCACATAGGCATAGTAAAAGTGTAACTACTTGATGCTTTCCTGTAGTTGTTCTTAATAGTTCCTTAACTACTTCAGTTGAGGTATTACCAAAATATATTTCCATGCTTAAAAAAAAGAAAAAATTCAGGATTCTAGTATGAAAGCAATCTATGCCCTTTGTAACAGCTTTTTGCCAAGGGCAGGGGTTTCATTAAGGGCCAGGCACCGGGCAAAGTGACCGGTTGTGAGGACGACTTTGCCCACCTGATTTGACCATCTGGAGGAAAGTTTATCTTATAAAGAAGTTCAGTTCAAAGAGTTTTGCCCGCCTGTGAATACCAGTTGCCCTCCTGCAGAAAACATTAATGAAACCCCAGCAAGGGTGAGGGCAGGAGTAATGCACCAGTCAAAGTAGACTCAAATCCTCCCCACCCTGGGACGGTGGGTGGGGATTGGTTTTGAATAGCGAAAAAACTTGAAAAATGCCTCTCCGTGTGGAGAAAATTTTAAAGGAAAGGAGACAAAATAACCCACCCCTTAAGGCATTTTAAGCTGTTACTCAATGTGAGTTTATTCCTTAAATAATGTAATTCGCTATTAACGTAATTTTACTTCTGGAAAGAGAGAGATTACCGCTAACGATCGTGGAATTTCCTTTCTGAGTGATTTAATGAGTTCGGGAAAACATTTCAGGGAAAGTTCTTTCAGGGATCCGCCACAGAATGTTTCGTCCTCCATGTTGTCTAGTCCCTCTCCTTTTCTTAACTCATTAATATACATGGTAACCAAGCCTTCGTATTGCATTACACGTGTAGTTATGGCGGACGAAGGGAACGAGTTTGAAAGGCCGCGGAAAATTCCTAAAACACTGAAAGAAAAGGACTCTGGAAAACGGCTTATTGTTATTCTAGAAAATGCGTCACTTGAGACAGTTAAGGCAAGGACAGAATATTGATATTAGTTCGACTGCAAGGAACAAAGTTAAGTTTAATAGGCTCAGGTCTTGAACAGCTGTGTGGTTTATGTGGTATTCTGTACTTACATGCGATACGTTCTTTCTACCCGTAGAATGGAAAAAATTTCGAGTTACTCAATTGTGACAAACATAAAAGTATAATGCGGAAAAATAAGAAAGATCCAGCAACAGCTAGACCAGACATAGCTCACCAAGTAAGAATTATGTTACCAATAGTGCAAGTCAGATCTTTCAATTTATCTTGCCAGGGTTTTTTAACCTCATGCATAATCATGAGAGATATTTTCCAAAACCTTGGAAGTTTCCTTGAAACCAGGAATGAATTTTTACCCTTTCAGTATGTAAATGAAGACCAAAACTAAGCCACAGGTAAACCAATGGATAACAATATGGACAATCTTTTTAAGGCTGGTTTTAGTGATTCGCTCTGACAAAGGGCTGACGCTCGAAACGTCAGCTTTTTTATTTGTTACGGTAATCCAACTTACAATTTCAACTTAGTTGATCTAACCAAATTACCAGGTTTTAGTGTGGTAATGAGTTGGTACACTATAGCTTGACTCTGCTGTGGCAGACATGTTTACCATAACGTGTAGGAGAATGATCTTTGCAGTAAGGAGTACTACTTGGGCAGTAGTGAAAATAAGACCTGGGGTTTGAACCCATGTCCTCTGCAATACCAGTGTAGTTTAAAACTAAACCTGTGAGAAAAATTTTTCTCAGGTCTTATTTTCACTACTGCTGAAGTAGTGCTCCTTACTGCAAAGATTGTTCTCCTATGTGTTTCTTTAACCATAGTTCAATATATGAGTTTCATATATTCTTAGCATTTGACTCATCATTTCATGGGTCATTACGAATCACCATAATGGCCAGCTCCCAGTTGGCTTGTTAGCTCAGTTGGTAGAGCACTGCACCGGTCTCGCAGAGGTCATGGGTTCGAATCCTGTACAGGCCTGAATTTTTTTCAGGCCTTATTTTCACTACTGCTCAAGGAGTGCTCCTTACTGTGAAGATCATTGTCCTATGCGTTTCTTTAACCGCAGTTCAATATATAATTTTCATATATTCTTAGCTTATCTTTACCATAAGATTGACTCTTAACTATTTTTTCTTTAATTGATTTTAATGTGTGTCTCACCAGTGTTTGCTGATGTTACTGGACAGTCCACTGAACAAAGCAGGTCTTTTACAAGTCTACATTCATACAGAGAGAAATGTCCTTATTGAGATTAACCCCCATACCAGAATACCAAGGACATTTGACCGCTTTTGTGGCCTTATGGGTAGGTAACACGCAGTCTTGATAATGAACTATTGATGAGCCTACTGAAATAGCCAAGAATATTTATTTGTGGTATTGCATAAATGGCCTCTATACAGCTAAGTACTGGATCTTTGGTGTTTGTGTAAGAGTTCTAATTATCATTTTGGTATCATTATCATTATTGAAGTCAAATAAACTAAAAGCCTATTTGCAGAAGGATGATATGTTTTTGATTATGTAATTATATCATAGCTCCACTGATTGTATGCAATGTCTTTTCATTTAGTTCAGTTATTGCACAAACTTAGTATTCATGCCTCTGATGGTCCGCAAAAGTTGCTCAAGGTGAGATTTTCCCTGCATTTCATTGGGAACATATTTATTAGTAATATGACTAAGAGACTTGCTGTGAACAAGGTATCTGTTGACTTATTGGATTGTTGGAATGATGTGCACTGGGTGTCTAATCCCTGTCTGTGTTAAGTTGTCCATGTGTCCTGCATGAGACACTGGACACATGCACACACCATATTCAATCCTAGAGTGAAGTGAGCATCATAGTCCAGCTAAGATCTTTAACAGACTGGCTGGTTCCCTTGTCTCACACAATACTTGTCAGATAAGCTCCAGTTGTGAAAACTAGCGATGTAGCAATACACTGAAGATCACACCTGAATTTCGGAACTCATTTGTCCATGTAAGAAGAGAAATTAGACTACATGTAATGGGGTTTTTGGTGGTTATCTGTTTATTTAGAAACCTACACCCTTTAAATAATAGAGTAGGTAACTGTAACTTTTGAGGACAAACTTAGTTTTGGGCATTTTTTTAAAAGCAAATCAGTAAGTGGAGAATAAAAATTATTATTGTTATTATTAGGTTATCAAGAATCCTGTGACTGATCATTTGCCAACTGGCTGTAGGAAAGTGGGTGAGTAACTGGAATTAACAATTCATCTGATAATACTTGGTCCTGCCAAGCTGTGTCTTCACTTCTTTTATTTGTTTTGATTTCGGGTGAAAATTATGTGAATTTCATACTATGCATGTACGTCATGCTAGGTGTATGAATGTCGATGTTGTTACATATACTTCACAACTTGATTATGCTTTGATTATCTTCTAACATTTACTGAATTAGTGGGATCTAGTGAACATGGCAGCTACTCTTTGTTTTTGGTAAGCTGTCTGTACATTTTGCTTGTAGTATGGGACTGGCACACATACCCATCTACAATCCTAAAGTGAAGCAAATTATGTAGTCTAGCTACAAATTTTTAGTAAAAGAGACTGGTTGGTTCCTTTACCTCACTGCATTGTAACAATAGAATTACTGATTCTTTATTTCATTACTATGTATTTTAAAGGTACCAACCTTCAGTTATATTACCAGTAATTGAAACAAAATATTGATTTGTCATTTCTTTTCAGGAACATCTTTTCATTCTGATAATCTTGTGAAGTTAAAGGATGTCATACCTAAAGAAGAGCCCATTGTGTTAGTTGTTGGAGCCATGGCACATGGCTCGGTAAGATTTTAAAGAAACAGACGTAAACCACTGGGACAATAAAAAATCTTAATAATATACCCAATTCATAGGTATTTCGTGATCTCTGATGGTTAAGTTCTTTTTTTTCCTCCTTTCTTTATTATGTCTCTTGTGGTCAGGTTTGCTCACATCATGTCAATTTATGATTGGCACCTTCAAATAAATGATTTTCCTAAACACAATTTTTTTTTTTCTGTAGCTACTTCATGCTCTACCTTTGACATTCATTGAAAATTTTATTCTGCAGATTGATGTCTCTTATGTGGAAGAAACTGTGGCAATAAGTCAATACCCATTATCAGGAGCTTTAACTTGTGCAAAAATCTGCACTGCTTTTGAAGAGGCATGGGGAGTGGTGTGACATGATTTTTTTTTTTTTTTAAATGGATCAATAAAGTCAACCTTGAGGAGTTTAGAGGAACTGTTTTGAGAGCAGAAGCCCTAAAGAAATTTCAAGGAGCACCTTGTTTTTGTTTCAATGCAATATGAAAATGTTTTTTTTTTTGGTTGAATGGTTAGTGTATTGCTTTATCCAGTACCATACTTTTTAATTCAGGACAAAACCATGTTTATGCAAGTGAGCTCCGGAAACATTTTCAAAACAAATTTTACATACACTTTAAGTTTTCTCAGAGAAGATAAACCAGAGACTCTTCTCTCAAAGGGCAAGTAACAATTGTTTATAAAGAAAGATACTTTTTATAAATATGAAAATCTGTAGATTGTTTCTTTTTTTTTTCCTTGGGATAATTGAATAAAATGAGATAAATGTTATATTGAAAAATAATTGTGAAAATTGTGAGTTGTATACAACTTAATTTTATCAATTTTATATTGTTTGTATATAGTTTTTCTTATTATTATAATTATTAGGTTAGTTTACGTAGTAGGTGTTCACAATTAGTTTTTACTTGTAAAAACTAGAACGATTGATACGTTAATAAAGTTATTCATTCATTCATTCATAACACTGAAATGAGTCGAACCTGAAGGCGTGACACAATAATCCTTGAGCTACGCAACTCGATAGTCCTGGAAACTGTTTCAAAAAGCACTATTCCTACTGCCAGATGTTATTTTCTCTTGGTTACAAGGTTAAGGTGCTTTTTACTTAATAACAAAATTAAACAAATATCAAGAACCAGGTTAAGAACTGTAGATCGTTTAATCTTCATATGTTTAGAATCATGATATAAAAAAAAAAAGAAAAAGCACTGTATAAATTTGATTCAGCTCGTAGTGCGATGGTTAAACTATTCACAAGTGTACAACTTGATTCCTGATGAATTACACCTTTTAAAGAACTCTCACACCAGACGTGTCCGATTCCAATGGATTGAAAGCTGATATTTACATATATTTGATAAATAGTACGATATAACTAACGGTTAAAACTCGTCGATAAAATTGGGGTATGCTAAAGATGCGATTAATTTGAAGCGTGACTTGTATGCGTTACAGCAGATTGAAAAACAAAATAGAAGAAAACACAACGGCAACCAAACGGCAAAGTTATCCCCACGACGCAAAATCAAATTCAGGATGAAAAGATGTTATTCATCAGTCCTTCAAAGCCCTCAAAATATCAATCTCCACCGCTCCTCCTCTCTACTGGCCCACGGTGTAGTGAAAAAGATACGTTGCGTGACAAAGTATCCATCATCAGCATTTCCTAGCCGCACTTCTGGGTCTGGACCTTGCAGAACTGTTTCGTCGATCCCCCCGCTGACCTCCTCCTAACATGGCTAAAGCACCTGCTGCGGCCATCAGTAAGTCCTGGGAAGTAACACAACACCACAACGTCCCGTGTTAAACAAGAGTAACACAATGTGTTAAAATGTTTACTGATACCACAACAACAGAATGTCACGGAATCGTATCGTTGAGTTACACAATAGCAACGGTATCGGGTTTTTTATGACAGTGCAAGGTTACCGGTATACGCAATGTGACAATGCGTAGGCACCAAGGAGACGAATAACACAACAGATCAACTGCACTTCACTATCTTAACAGCTCCTGTCAGAGGAAAGCTGTGAACAGTTAGAAACAGAGTCCATAACTAAATTAATTTTACCTCGTGTTCATCATCTGAGAAATTGGATTTAGCTTCAGACAGCAATTTAGTAATATTAGCATTCAGTTTCATTTCGTCTTTGATGTCGTCTGTAAAAAAGAAAAAAACCTGAATTCATTAGAAGTCTCTTCACTTACCAATACCAAATGCAGTAATTTTGTCTTACCATATTCTACCAGCTCAGAAAAAAGGACACAGATGTTCTCCACTACTTCGTCGTTGGTTTTGAGGTTACTACAAAATAAAACAAAAGAGAGTAGCACGTTTACAATGCGTGGGTACAGAATGACTGCGTACACGCGAGCCACTGAAGGAACTCACTTCGAATGAATTACACCCTGAGTCATACCTGTGGCGATAATTAGGTAACCCTCGTATTGTCGCATGCAAATACACATGAAAATATAGTAGATTTATGAAAACTTAACTTCGACGGCTTCTGATACTTAACAAACCAATTCTTACATTTTAACCAAAGAACTTTATCTTTTTGTCCCACTGCGAGAGATTTTAAGAGGAACTGATAACTGAGTGCAATGTAGGACTCCTAAGAGTTGACGTGCTCCCACTGAATTATAATCTCGATGTTCTTGCTGTCCATTTGATCCCTACAGAACACCAGTGAACATCATTAGCTTCGTGTAGAATCAAGAAAATACTTTCATCTTACTTGTAGGCAGCTATGATGCTCTCCAATCCTTCAATCTTCAACAACTGATACGCACAGACCTCTAAAAGGAAAAAAATAATTCACGGTTTATTTAGTTAGAACCAGAAAGTGCAACAAAGTATAATCATCTTATTAAACACTAGTTTTGGTAAATATTAAATGCATCTGCAGAGACGCGAGTTTCGTTCTTGGGGTTAATTTTCCGGCAAAAAGGTTTGAAAGTAGCTCACAAAAGCTAGAACATGAAACTGTCGTTCTCTTACCTCGAGCCTCCACAATACTTGCTAATGCCATGCAAGCATTTTTAATGACTTTAGGCTCCTGCAACACAGACGTAAGTTAAAACAAGTCACGAAAAGCTTGTGCATCTTAATAAAGTAAGGCTAAAATTTCGGATTCGTTAACTGCATTCCGTCTTAATGTTTTCCATTCTTAACAGTACAAGTGGTCTTTTTGGTTTACTCTACCCCTTTGCTGTTTGTACACCCTATCAAAAAATTTACCTTACAGTTTCCTTCAAGACTTTGTATTTTATGTAAGAGACCCCTGGACCTAAATGTGGAGATTTAGTTACTCTCAGGAATTGACAATCTGAGTCCATGAATACAAAGTCAAACCATTTGCCAGCACAAGACACGCCTCTGCATGAAGGTTTTCATTTTAGAACAGAAGTCACGCTTGGCTTTCCGTAACTGTCGATACCGCACTGCGAAATCACCGACAGTCCCAAAGACATTTCAATACCTTTTTGTGCATTTTAATGGCATCCACAATCAGGTCAATAACATTAAGGTCCTCCATAAGTTCTAAATTGACCTCTGCAAGAAAAATTATTCAAGATTGTTGAGAACCAATCAAAAAGGGCAAAAAGTTTTTGGTCTGGAAGAAAACAAAGTGGAGGATAGTTAAGATTGTCAAGACTAACAGTCGAATAAGGAACATGGTAAATTACGATCTCGGTCTTGGAATAAAGAAAAGCGTCATTCCTTTCTAATAAGCATGGAACAAAGAAAGCCTCTCGAGTGGATTTTAACAAACAGACCTTCAGATTTGGGGGTCGGTCGAACGATACGCATTTGAGCTATTTGGGAATGGTAAGTGTGTATAAAACATTCATTCCTGATTTCTGAAAGACCCAAACACCAACTGCCGATGATGTAAATCTGCTGTGAGTTCATTTTACCTTCCATTGAAAGAGACCAAAGAGCAGAGCACGCAGCTTCCACCAAATCAACATCTGTGTTATGTCTTCCCATGGCGAGGACAATGTCTTCAAGACCCCGTTCCTCAGACACTATCTTGCAATTGTCCTCTGCAAATATCAAAAGTGAAAGTAAGACACCTTCAAACAAGAGGAAATCACCTTTAAAAAACTGGGTTCACCCTAGTAGATATAGACTGTACTACTGAGTTGAAAAACAAAATGTACCCATATCCACTGATTGGAACTCACTCACATGATAACACAAGCTCAGACAAGGTAGAATTATCCACAAGCCATGTACGACTGGGAACGAATCTAGCACTGTGCGCGATGCTCAACCGCCACGGACTGGGAACGAATCTAGCACTGTGCGCGATGCTCAACCGCCACGGATTATTAGGAAATTCACGGAAGTAACAGTCGCCCAATCAGAACAGCCAGTAGCCACTGACGCGGTCCACACGTCACTTCTTTTGTATGAAAATCTCTCAGTTCTTTCAAACATAAATTTTTTTAAAAATTTGTTCCCATACCACTGACAGCCAGACTCCACAGAGCACCACAGCAGTTGGAAGCAATGCTTTTGTTGTCAGGGAAAGCTCGCAACGCTGATAACAAGTCCTGCACTCCTCCACAACGACCGATTATTTCACCTGCCGCCTCTAATCACAAAAATAATCAAATGGAAAAAAGTTAGCATTGTTTATTTGATGTTAATAAATGTTCATCATATGACCCGGTTTAGCCCCGCGAGTGCAATCCAATACTAAACCAGAACAAAACCTGCCGAGTGTAAGGACGGAAGGGTTGAGGTAAGCCGTTCCGGAAAAAGCCATCCGGTACTGCTGCCTTCACGTCGCTTTGTTGCACAAACTTAAAAGGAAAACAGAAATGAGCAAAAAAAGTCGCGTTTTTCAAGGAATTGAAAGTTTCTCGTTCTGATTCGAAAAAATAAAGGAAAAGTTAGAATTCCAGAATTTTTTTTGGTGCTCAGGTGATTGTGTGTACCCTTCAATTGTGTCCTATTTAGGTTGAAATTTTCAAGACTTAGTGGTCATAGGATAAAATGCTTACTCACCGAGTTTGTTGGGGCTGGACGGGAATATTTTTGGCCCTTGGTCACGAGGCACGGACATCGCTGCACTCGGTCCGTACGTCATGACTTTGAGCCAAATATTTTCTCGTCCGACCCGACCAAACTCAGTCAATAAGTAGGTATTTTATTTTAGGTAGCTGCCTACTATCGCATCTTAGACTTGTTCATGGCGGATTCCTTTACTCGTGGTAGCATAGAGTGTTGAGGATGGCAGCTGTTGGTGCTAATTTTTTAGAATATCTCGTCTTTAATAATAATAATAATAATAATAATAATAATAATAATAATAATAATAATAATCTTTATTGAGATGATTTTTTCATATAAAATATGGTTTTCGAAAAGGATCTCTAACAAAAAACAAAACAAAAAATTTTTAATGATAAAATTAAAAATATATACAAATTATAAAAAGAAACAACACATTGACTTAAAATTGTATTTAATAATAATCTTTAATAATAATAATAATAATCTTTATTGAGACGATTTTTTCATATAAAATATGGTTTTCGAAAAGGATCTCCAACAAAAAACGAAACAAAAAATTTCGCACATTAAAATTAAAAATATATAAAAATTATAAAAAGAAACAACACATTAACTTAAAATTCATATGGATCACAGATTTAAAAATAACATGGTATGAAATTCATTAATTCACAAGTTTAAAAGATTAAGTTTAAAAATATTAAGATTAACGGATTGGCTGATTTCTTGGCTAAGAGAGTTAAAATCCTTTATAGCATGAAATGCTGTCTGTTGTTGACCCCAGTCCCTCTTGACACATGGAAGTGTGAGATTTAGCTTAGTTGTGGTATTATAATCATGTTGTTCATGCTGTCTTATAAAGTTCATATCATGCCCAGCAAGTCCATTTAAACACTTAGATACATAAATACATCTTCTTCAACACATCTCTTCAAGAAACACTAGAATTTACATATTAAATTAGCTTCACTTGGTCCAAAGTTATTTTCGAGAGAACAATTGCTTTGAAAAGTAGATGGACTTCATCCTAGCTACATTCTTCTTTTCTGAGTCCTCTTATTGTCTACAAACATTAGTTGGCTTCACATAACTTTATCTTAGTGTGCTTTGAAAACCTAAATTAGACTGAAGGATGACACCACATCATTTTATAGCTTCACTTTGCTTTATATTTTAGCTGACAGGATAATAGTAGTAATTTGATAAATACTTTTTCCAGAGGATCTGATTATTTCAATTTGCTGTCTCACAGGTTCAACGATGATCTAAACGTCAAATCTTACAGCATCATGAGATGATTTTCAGCTATTACTTTGTTTTCTTACTCTGATTTTTATCAATTTTTGTACTTAGCTTTAATTCTTGGAAATGGTTAGAAAAGTTTAACCATCAGACACGAGGTGCTTCGTTCCTCTAACTTACCCTCCGCTGAAAGGGCCATAAGTAACTGACAACCACAAGCCTGGAGCTCAGATGAAGTTATGTGGGACTACAAGGAAGAGAAAAAAAGCAGCAGCAAGAACCTTTGAAAATGGAGGTTATGAAAAACGCATTGAATTAGCAATTCCTTTAACTTTGAAACTCAGGAACACCTTTAACTACTCAACGCTAGCAATAACTCACCTTCATTGCTTTAAGAATAGGCCGAATTATTTCCTCTGTAAACATGACGTCATTATCATCGGCTGAAAAGCAAAAAAGCTATTAAAAAAACAATCCTGTACTAAACCCACAAAATTCAGGATCACTTCTTTGCATCTAACTGAATCACAAAATACAGGACCACTTCTCTACATCTTACTGAATCACAAACATTTCTATTGTTCTTTTTCATGTTCCTTAAAGCATGCCAGTCGAGTAAAGGCCTTAGTAGGTCCGTACCCTGTACTTGCACCTGCTAAATACATGGTACGAACTCTTATGAACCCAGGCAACTCTTGGTCAAAACCACTTCTCAGCCATCTTTGCACGTGCCAAAAACTTTCTAATTGAATTTCAATGAGCGCCTCACCACGTACACACTCATACATGCTCTCTAACGAGGATAGAAAGCTTACAGCAAAACAATCGCTAGATCATGCTATGATTTGGATATATCAACAAAGTTGAAATGGTAAATTGGCCACCGTAACGATTACAAAAGCTGACGTTTCGAGCGTTAGCCCTTCGTCGGAGCGAATAGAGGAATTGTGGGTTGTGTGTGCTTTTAAAGGCAGAAAATGGAGCTACGTTATTGGTGGGAACATGGCAACGAGAAAAACAAGAATAAATTAGTGGAACGAAAAGCGCTATGGCTTGGTTAACTTGGACTGGACATTTCTCCAACCCACAGAAGCAAGAAATTTCGGCAGTGGGCCTTTGTTCCACTTTGTATAAACGAGTAATAATTCCTCACCATGTGGAAAAAGATTAATAAATATCTTTAAGGCCTGAAGGTGAACATCTTTGGATGGATCTTGTTTTTTGTTTTCATTTGTCATGGTTTCTGCAATTTGCTGCTTTGCTTTTTTATTCAAAGACACATCTGCAAGCAGGGAAAACATTCAAAATTTAAATATAAAAAGTATACACACACACACACACACACACACACACATTCCTAAAAACACACCCTGTGGCAGACTATACTAATGACCAGCGGGCACTTGGTATGAATAATAAAATGACCTGAACTAGCTTCTCCCCTTGTAACGCTCGCTACGCTAGATTTGCACTCTTACCTTTAATTGTTTTTCCGTTAGTGGAACCAACTGTACTTTGGCATCGGATTACCAACAGTTAATACAAAGTATATGTTACTTTTTATACGAAAATGTATCATTACAAATAATAGACTGCTCTACGCAGGTCATCCTCCACATCATGTGAGCTTAAGCAGGCGCGTAGCATGGTTATTTTTTCAAGTACACCCAAGTGCATATGATCTAGAAACCTAAGTAAACTGAGCGAAAAATACTGCGTTCTTTATTTCTTGTTTGAAATAGCTGTGTGAATACAAGCAAAGAACAAAGCGTCTTGCCCTTATTTTGAGCAAACTTGGCGCAAACACAACATTGTTTTCAAATTTTTCTGGTCACTTCAAGTACGCACGTGGGTATATGCGTTGAGGACGCTACGCCCCTGTGAAGTAATTTTTAGTTCACAGGTCAGACAAGAACACACCACACTACACCAGCATTGCATACTAAACACAAATACCTTGTTTCCTTGTAATTTGTTCGAGGTGTTTCAAAGCTTGTACCTGTCACAAAATAAAACACTGAAATATCTGACTGGACAGGTCAGTATCACAAGTAATTCACACTTTTTTAACAAGCATCTTATCTCATTTTATTCATTCTTTTAAAAATCACTTTGGTAAAACATGTTAAAATGTTATCATTATTTCTTACTGTCCAGCAAAATGATCAAGGTAAGAGCCTTGAAGGAAGAGGATAACCAAAGAACCTGCTCTATCATGTTACCTGACAAGCTACACTGTCTTTGTTTTTCTTCATGTAATCTGCAGTTTGGATACAAGAAGAAAAGATTTATGAAAATACAGATTTAATTCATCTGAAGTGAGTAACTTATTCTTAATAAGTTCTAAAAAAACAACTTAACCTCTCAGCAGAGCTAACTTTAGATATTACTTACAAGGAAACAATCTGGTACTTCAGAAATTTTCATTTAAAAATTGTTCAAAGATTGATGGATAAATACTTACCAAGAACACCTGCCACACCCTTATCTTTAGGTACTGGTTTTGCAGCTGTAGAAAACAATAAACAACATTTGATAACAATGTAAACATTGAACCTTTTTCATAATATGTAAACCTTAGTTGACTGTATCCATGGAACAACTTGTAATTTGCACACACCATCTTTCCTTGCTCCTTTAGAGGCAGCCCCCGTTCCTTTTGGTTGTTTACTGGATAGTGCAATACAACCTTTAACATAGGGCAGCTCAGCCAGTTCCCTATGTAAAAAAAATGTCACACAAGTGAGAATACAAAGTATGTTTCCAAGTAAAAAGAAAAGAATAATGCAAGTCCATCCAAACTCACATTGTTCTTAATTAGTTTGTCAAGTCCTTCCTGTAAGTTGTAATATTCTAATTAATCAGAAAATGAATGAAATAATTGCTTGCGATTTTATGATTTGGTTTGCAATAAGAACATCAATCCTGGATGCTGACAATTAAGAGACATGACAGCAGGAAAGCTGGGCGGCAGCAGACCACAATAACAATGAAAATTGAACAACCGTAATTTCAATAATTTTTGGTTATCCTTCTGAAACTGGCTGCTTGAAAGTTTATACAATTCTTACTTCATGGTAGGTCTTTGTTGGAAATTTCTTCTCAGCATAATTCGAATAGTTTGGCAGAGATCTTTAGCGTCTTTTGTTTTGTATGCCTACAAAAATGGTATTAAAGTAATATCAAATAATACAATTCAAATGGAAATAACTCATTATTCCATCAGAACTCCAACCAGTGTCTTAACAAAGCATTTGCAGTTGTGAGTGTAGTGTCCAGTTACTTGGTATATTTCTCACAAGTGATTACTTTAGGTAAACAATGTAAGCAAATATGCCTTAAATATGAAAATGTTCTCACACAAAAATAAAAAGTAGCATATATGTAAACAGTCTTTTAAGAGATAGAGACCTTCTCAACTTCTTTGAGTACATCGTCTAGTTCTTGAGGAGAGTGTTTGATTTGAAAAAGTTTGGAAGATATCTGTGATTGCTGCAATAACAGAAACATAAGGTCTGTGAAGGCAATCTCAAATACAATAACAACTTGCTTCACATACTATAACTAGAGCCTACTTTATCATAATATTAAATGATTGCTAGGAAGAATGCTTGCATGGTACAAAAAGAAAAATAAAATGAAAGTTTTAAATACTTTTCAAGGTCAAACTTAGCAACTGTTCTGAAGGTGACAATTTTATCAGCAAAGAAAATACATGCTTTAAACTACAGTAAATCCTCTTCTAAAAAAATTTCTGCTTGCACTATGTGACTAATTATCAGCATAAATGTATTTGTTAACCTTTCATACATTTTTATGTCATTAATCGATTTTAACATTACTCACATCCAAGAAGCCACAAGTGGCTAATTCAAGAACTATGCATCCAAGTGACCAGACATCACTCCGTTCATCATATCTTCCAAACGTTAAGAAGAGGAGACATCAAGAATACTAGGACAGATAGCCTTGCCAATCAACCATGATAAGTGAGCTACACATCAGTAGATAGAAACAGCTCAAATAATGAAATGATTTTCCCCAAACAGAATTAAATAGCCATTAATTTATTGATCCCACTAAAGACTGTCTGAAAAATGAATATTTGCCTGAGAAGCACTGGAGGGGAAATGTAAAATTTTGAGGACAATCTCTCAAGCAAGGATATCATCAGCCCACATACCAGCAAGCAAGAAAGACGTTCATAACCCTTCAATTAATTTTTATGTCATGTGTTGACAGAGAATTTTGTTGACTTTTTTGTACTTTCAGGAGCAGCATTTGAGATCAGGTTTTCTTAATGTTGTTATTACTGGACTCTTCAAAATGAGTTTGTTTTCTTCCATGCAAAATAATAAAGATGAAAAAGTTTGACATTTGCACTGGCTTGTCTAATAATAAAAAATAACGATTTATTGACTTATATTGCACAATTATCAATATACGAATTTTCAATTGTGTATTACTATTAACCCATTAATAGCCACAGCTTTTGTGAAAAACTGTGTTTTGAAGCTCGTCGAGCAGATTTCGGGTCACTGTTGTGGTTTTAAAAGCTCAAACTTACCACAAACCCATTGACAACTTGTACACTCGATGGCCTTTCGATCCAAATGCAAAATGGCTGCCTGAAAATCTCGGGCAGGTGCAGAAAGCAAAATTTTGAAAAGTAATGCCCCACTTACGACTTTTACTTTTCTCTCTTTCTCCTGCCTTTTTTTTTCCCCTTTCCTTGCCTGAAGTTTCTCCTCGCTTGCTGGAAATTTAGTAGGCTTCATTTTGATGTAGAGATTTTTTAGGAAACTACTCATTATTTTCAAACCACATGCTCAGAAAGGTAAGTGGGTAATGGAACAAGATTTTCGTGCAGATTTTCAGGTCAAAGTTTACATGGTTTTTTGGCTATTTCTCCAATCTCCTTCACTCTATTGCGCTCATTCTGGTATCGTTTGTAAGATGTTTTCAACCTGTTCAAGTACGTGCTCAAAGTCGTGCTCCAGGGTTTAAAGTGATGACATCACAAGGCATAGAAAGAGTGTGGGTCCACATGGGCGCTTACGGACGTCAACAGGTTAAATGTTAAAAATTCAACTCTACATAGATACTAAAAACCAAAAAAATAAACATGTTCACAAAGATATACAAAAATTAAAAAGGAATTAAAAAGCTGTTGCAAATAAAAAGTCTTAATGGCTTTCTAAAACTTGTTTAAAGATTGGGTATTTCTGATAGAGCGTGGAAGATCATTTTATAATTTAGTGCAGCTGCATTCTGGACTCTCTGTAATTTGTGTAGATTGCATTCAGGAACTCCAAATAGGAGGCTGTTACAATAGTCCAGGCAGCTAGATATAAAGGCAAGTATAAGTGTCTCTGTACATTCTTTAGATAGGCACTTTCTAATTCTTCTAATAAAACACTGCAGAACAAGTCTTGGTGACATGATCAACCATAGATAGGTTTCAGTCAAACCAGCTCCAAGGTTTTAAACAGGAGAGTGCAAAGCTATTAGTTTGCCAACTTAAAATAATGTGTTAATTTTTACTTTGGCAAGCGGCTGCTTCATGCCAATTAAAAGAAACTAATTTTTTTCCACCTTCAACATTACTTTATTCTCATGCATCCAACACCTGATTGCCTTAATACAACACAATAGCAGCAATGGCATCCAAGTGACCTGTTTCAACTGCTGGGCCGAAAGAGATGTAAAGTTGGGTATCATCTGCATAGCAGTGGAATGATAGAAGATATTTTGTGACAACATCTAGTAACAAGCTCATATAGATGGTAAACAAAGGCAGTCCTAAACAGCAGCCTAGAGGAACTCCCCAGTTTAAATCAAACTTCTCCACCAGACACCAACAAACTAATATCCTTTGACTGCACCCTGATAAATATAATTGGAACCACTTGAACACCCTAGCCCCAGGTCCTAGTGTATTGAGTGCCTCCAGCAACATATTGTGCTTGACTGTATCAAAAGCAGCACTAAGATCGAGTAGCACTGGAAGAGTTACATGTTGTTTATTCATATTGAGCAGGATATCATTCCTAACTTTCAGAAGAGCAGTTTCAGTGTTATAACACACCCATAAGCTGATTGACTGGAGCATTCAAGTATAGGCTCATCTCAACCATGTGTTCATGTATCTGATGCAAGACTGCTTTCTCAGTGAGCCTCGATAAGAAAGCCAAACTGCTTACAGGTCTGAAATTCTTGAATATGATATCAAGACCAGGCTTTTTGAATAATGGACAAATTACTAGTGCCTCCTTCCAGAACTTGGGGAGTCCAGCTTCTAATGATTTGTTATTGATTGTAGTAATGACTGGAAGAAGAGCATCACCTCTGCTGACCAAGCATGAGAGCATTACGTTGAGGAGGCAAAACATCAGTCTTGAGTTATGAATAAGTGATTTAACATTGTTCGCAGAATGGGTCTTAAATGCAGATAACTATGGAGTTGACCGAGCAGAACCATTAGCAGTAGTGGATGCCAAGGCAGGTAAATCTATAATAAGAGCATCAATTCATCTCTGGATTGTATCAACCTTTTACACAAAATACTTTCCTACTTTGTTTGTGAATGTGGGGGCATACAGATTCAGTGGTAACTCATCACCCTGCAACTGATTAAACAGGTGTTTAGTACCTTGAAACAACTTTTGCTAATAGCAGCTGTTATCCTTGATAAATTTAGTTTAAAATGCTTGTTGTGCCTTGTTGATAAGATTGTTGACAGCATTACATTAACTTTGAAGACAGCCAAGCCAGAATCAAGTTTTGATAATCTCCATCTTCTTTCAGCTTTCCATCACTCTCTCTGATTTCGTTTGTGCACCATGGAACTTGTGGACACACAACAATTGTTCGAGTCTCAACAGGGGCATGCTTGTCCAGCACAGCTCTTAGGGTTTTGTTATAGGACAAAACAAGTTCCTCTAGGTCGTCCAGTGGATTTTTTGCATAACTCAGACTTAGCCAGGTCATCTTTCAGGGAATCCATGCTAACTGATCTTATTTTCCCATACAAGAGAGTACTGGTGGAGAAAGAAAGCTTGACTGAATGAAGATGACAGCACTTGTGCATGATCAGAGAAGTAGCTGTGGACTCGAGCTGTGGATCTTACAATCTGGTTGGACTGGCAGGTGATGATTAAGTCTAGGGCAGGACCACGAATATGGGTTGGGCCCACCACATGCTGTTGTAGGCAGGAGGATTCCAGCAGATCTTGAAATTTGGTTGAGTCACTACTGCTAGGTACATCTACATGGATATCAAATTCACCAATGGTGAATTTAATTTCCATGTAATTTGGTCGAGTCACTACTGCTAGGTACATCTACATGGATATTAAATTCACCAATGGTGAATTTAATTTCCTTGTAATTTGGTCAAGTCACTACTGCTAGGTACATCTACATGGATATTAAATTCACCAATGAATGATCACCAGCTGTTCTTTACAGAGATTTACCATTTCTAGATGGTCAGTAAAATCATTAAACAACATGGTCATGGGGATCCTGTGATCATCAGAGTCAGACTGTGGTCCATAATACTATAACTGAGATCGTAGGAAGAAGCCAGCTAGATAATCATCTCTGAAAACTCAACTGACATTTTAGCACCACCACCCACCTTCTTGACCATTAGAGAGTCCCTGAACAATAGAGCTGTACTACCAGCTTGACAACAATCGTATACATGATCCAATAGCTTAATATATCCATCTGGACAAAGTTCTGCTCAAACTGCATCATCACAACTTAACCAAGCCTCTGTCAGTGACTAGGTCAGCTTTACACTCACAAATATAATCACAAATATAATCAACTCCAATGGCTTTGCTTCTTTCCAATGGAAATAACCAGAGGAAAAATATCAACCAAAATGAGGGTTATAGTGTTATAACTGTCTCGTGATTTTTCACCATGTGATGTGAAGTGGCCGATAGACTAACCAGAAAAATTATGGGTGGGTTATGACAAGAAATATTTTTGAGATTTCTGAAAAGGATACGGCTTCTCTAGTACCTCCGGTGCCATCCAGTTCATTGTTCCTAAATAAGAATAACTGCTTAGTAAGCACTGCTTTTTTATCTTCACCAGAGACGCCAGAGAAATTTGAAATGATGGGAAATGATGTATAATAACTATTTAACAAGAGGCTGTAAACTAAATAAATGTGAATATTCCATCATTTGATTTGTGAAGCTTTTACCATCCACAACAAATCAATACAAATAATTCCCTATCAGCTACTGTTTGGAAACAGAGATAATGCACCAAAGGATATTAATTACTGCCCCCAAAACATTGTTAAACACACAGAAGCAATATTATTCAAGAAAGATCAAAGGCAATTTTATCATCACAAATAATCACTGATAATGAATTCTTATAAATAGTTGTTGAAAAACTATCAAATTCTAATATATAACTTTATAAAAGATAATTAGGGACATGACACACACCTACTGTAGTTCGTGTGCGAGTCCTTGCATCATCCATAATGGTTGAAACACCAAAATCACCTGTTTTCCATAACATATTAATTATAGCTTAGTCATCTTGATACAAAAATCAGCAAATCTAAGTTCCAAAAAAAGGTAGTTTTAAGGTTACTTCCCACCTTTGCAGTTGTTCTTCAGGAAAAAATTTGAACACGCACTATTTTCAAGAAAATCCTAACAAACCATACATCAATAGGTTCAGCTAATAATAAAATGTAGTTTTAGGAAGTGTCAGGAGCCGGTAAAACATGAAACAACCAAGGGGTTCTTCTGCTGAATTTATTGGGCAATGGATCCTACAGCATGAACAAAATGGCTGCTCAGTCTTATTCACAAGACATCAATCAACAAAAGACTGTCTGGCTTTTCCGATATTCTGATTGGTTGTCTAGATATCCACATTAAAAGTTAGAGTAGCACAAAATACGTGAGATGTGTAGCATAAATAGATGCCACCTGAAAAATATTTTAAATATCAACCCTTGAATGTTTTGGCTAAATCTCACGAAAATCAATTGAATCTACATACCCTATAAATTTGTTCAAAGTGGATGTATTTCTCTCAAAATCAAATAAATTGACAGACAGCTTTGAAAATAATGATTTGAGGTGATTCAAATGTTTTTTATCAAGGCTGGTACTTGCATAAATAAAAGGAAACAAATTGAAAAATTATGGTTTAACGGTGACTCCTTTGTTCAAAATCTGGATGCCAATGTGGAGTGGAGTACCAGTCGCTTTTAACAAGGACTTTTTTTTCTTTTCTGGACAGAATGATAATTTTCTTTCTTCTTTGGGTCTGTTTCCCCCCCCCCCCTTTTTTGTCCCTTTTTTTTTTTCAGCTTTTGATTTTTCTATGAGCAAAAATTTTTCCACAAGCAAAAAGCTTCCACATGTGAGTTTTGTCAAGTGCAGGATGTAAACAAAATATGCAAATAATATGAAGAGGAGCAGCTGCTGTGAAAATTCCCCCAGGGGACTCACTCAGATACAAGATTATGACACCTTCCTGATTCTAATAACTTGGATGCTTTTGCAAATTTTATAATTTCCTTTTTCTGGAGTTATGTTGGGTAAATTGTTCGACTTCAGTTTAGTCAAATAAAAGAAAAAATTCTTTTTTTCGCTATCTGAAGGTGGGAAATAACCTTGAGAATAAAGATAAGCAAAACAATGAGACCATTGGCCCTCACTTAGCATTTGTCTGAACTTATCAACTCAGGTGTTATTCTATCTAGGTTGGGGCAATCAACTAACTATTTATTCATGTAGATAACACTGGAAATCAAATTATAACATGTAACTGTTTGGAGCTTTTTTCACATGTACAATATTATCTTGCCAAACTTTCCTTTTTTCACTCAAAAATGATCATATCATTATGATAAATATGTCATCATTATGATTATTATTATAATTATCAAATAATTATCACCATAATTATTAAATCCAAGTAACGTATTTTTACGTTGGTTGTTATTCTTACCCTTACATCATATTCTAAAAGGTCAAATACAATATTGACACCCCGATCCTCAAAAAGCAGGAGTCCACAAATCAAAGACCAAAATCTTAAACCTCTTTGTATTTTTCAAAGCTGGACTTGGTGGTGAAAAAATTCAAAAGGGAATCTACTTCTTACAGTTTCTAGGTCTTGATGTAGGTTTAGATCTTAGGGTGTGCACAGAAGAAGAACTTTACAGATAGTATCATTAACATCAGATCAATGACTTACCAACTGAAATGCTTCCATCCTCAGCAAGAAAAATGTTACTTGGCTTTAGATCCCTGCCCATGGGAGAAAAACAAATTTTTATTACACGATGTCTAATAGTATCAGCCTTAAATGAATCTTGAAACTTGAAACAATTATTTTTTGGATACATTTTAACAGGTCCTTCTTACAATTTACTGGCAGAAATAGTTCCTAGTAAAAAAAGTTTATCATCCAATAGAAAATTTGAAAACAACATCATTCAACAATGAGTAGGGTACCTGTGAATCATACTCTTGGTATGAACCCAGGTCAGTGCATCAACCATTTGACCAAACCACTTTTTTATAACCTGAAAACACATTAGGTACAGCAAGAATAAAAACAACATGAGATTCACTTCAGATTATTCAGTTTATAATAAGAGGGCAGAAGACATTTTCCTTTTAACTTAGCAGAAAGGAATTGAAAAGATAGATTCCTGCCAATTTCAAATCCAGTTCATCACATTGTAAATATGGGGTAAAAACACTGAACTCTCAACCTGTTTTTTGATCACTGATGTTAGCATGAGTATGGTGTCACTTAATATATGTAACTATTAAAACTGCAGGTTAAATGATATGAAAACCAGTTGTGCGAAAAATCATATGCTAACCATTGGTATTTTGTCTTGCTGGTCCAGGATATACTTTCACAATGGGTAACCCAAAGAAGAATGAATCCTAGTCTACAGCCACCACAACTGGTAATCATAACAATCAGACTTGCACAGAAAATATTTCAATCTACATTTAGGGGATCCATGAAGTGGGAAGGAGTCCATGGGACTCATTCAAAGACAAGTCTTTAAGGAAGTTGATGGACTCAAAGCCTCTATGTTCAGTATCTTCAGGATAACTTAAGACGGTTCTGTTTCATTAAATACATAAAATAAAGTATCACAGTAACAAGACTAAGGAGAAATCTCTGCCTGTGGATTTTGTGCTTCATCAACAGCTGGGATCAGTGTTTTTTATCACTTCCAAGATATAGTTTCACTCACAAGTTCTGGTATGGACTCTCCTTTAGCTCGTTTTTGCTTCAGGGCCCTATCTAAGTCACCTTCACAAATTCAATGAGACAAAGTAATCATTAAACATAAATGGCTTAATTAAGATAAATTTGTGAATATATGACTTGCAAATGGCTCATCAACAACAGAAAAATTTAAATCAGACAGCTCACCCATCTTGTAAAAATCCATCACAATACATACAAACATGGCTGCCTCCTGAAAAATGTTTACAAATGCAATGAGCTCAATACAATTTTGAAACCAACTGTACTTGCTATAGGTTAGGAACACACATATGGTGATAAATCCGATATGCAAGAGTGTAGATCGTAAACGACATAGCATATCCAGATATGTTGAATAAATAGGCTATCACAAGCCACTATCAATGCTAAGTAGAAAACACCTTTATTAAGCAGACAATAGAGTTAGTGGTGCAACTGGTAAATAAAGGTTTCACTGTATGCATTGTTCCTGGAAAACTCATAAGACACAGGAGGGCCTGGCTATACAATTACAGAATGATATAGAGATGGTATTGTTGACAGTGAAATTTCTTAACACGCCGTACCTGAAAGATACATTATTGAAATTCATGAAATTAGCATGTACCTCTTTATCCCATGTTACAAAAAACTCTTTGTATCCACAGATATATGGGTGCTTGTGTGGATGTTGAAGTTCTTGTAAGGCCACAGCCTGTCACAGAAACAAATGCATGTTTCAATCCCTACCTATTCAAGTTACTAACCTACATGCAAAGTTCTTTTTTAAAACACTGGTTTATTCTACATGTACAGCTTTGTTCTTCCCACTGAATTTTTTTCCACATTCAGTCCCTTAATCTCCCCTCCCCCTCTCCTTTCAACCTCACTTCTCTCCCTACTCTGACCTAAAGAGGAATTTTTTGTTAAACCCCTTGCCCTTCCCATTAGGATTTCTCTCTATTAGGATAATTTTGTTTTCTGGAAATGCACAAGAGATAATTCAGTTCTTCATCTCAGGGATACAGCCAAACTTTACCTCATGAAATGCTTTATTTGCCTCTCCTTCATCATTGCATTCAACCTATCAAAATTAATGACAATAGAGAAAAAAACCTGGCAACTGACTTCTCAAGCATCTAAGGAACAGTTATCTTTAAAATCAAGTCTTAAGTTTAATATTGATTAATCAGGAATTTGTTTTAAATAAAGGAGGTGCCACCAATGCTGAGGTTGAGTAATTGTCTGGAGTGAATCTTTTCATTCTTTTTTGTCAAGATGTCAACGAATACAAGAGAGTGCTGATGACAAAAGTTCCTAGACTACTGTTTATCCATTTTAAGCTACATCAAAGAAATTCCCCTCAGTAGGTTCATCACAAGATTGCTTTAACCCTAATTTTCTGTTTCTGTTCCCTTTAAATGTTTCAAAGATTGTTTTATGATTGAGCAACACAAGATTTCAAGAAGCAGAAAGATCAGAAGTGGCTCAGTTGTTCATAGCTCATGTGCCACTTTTTTTGTTCACACCATACTCTCGCATCATCTGCAATGCAGAAGGGAAGAATATTTAATTGTTACAAGGACTGTTGTGCCTGCCCACTTGATGGCATTCAATAACAAACAAATTCTTTGAGGATCAGCTCCAAATTAACATTATAAAAACGTCTAAAAAATTTGTGTTTCAACTTAAATGTAAATTCAGGTTCAAAAGGCTTTACCTGTTGTTTTAACAAGTCTAACTTTCTTTTTTATTCTATTTACACATTATTCTTTAGCATAACAACATGTTCTACTCGTCTACTCATCACGAGAACTTTGTTTGAATTATTTCCTGATGTTAAACATTTCTTCCATCTAATTCCATTTCTTCAGTACAGCATATATCAGTAAACTACTTGGTTCATTGCAAATGGAAATAGTTGCTTTGAAAAATGCTGCAACTAATTAAAACGACTACCGTGGAATGTATGTGACATTTTAGCAACTCCACAAATCTAAGCTTACACGGCTATTGCAGTTTGAGCTGCTGCTTAGCACGCTAGTTGGATTTCGCTTCTTAGGCCGAATAAAGCTTAACGAAGAAAAACAATTTGCAGGCTGGATCAATGAAACTTGTTTCGCCCTTGCTATTAAATGTAATCAATGAACTAGTAGGTCTGGTTAAAAAGTCAATTCACCTTCTTCAAAACATACAGGACTTTATCGTGCTTGTTTTCTGCCAAAAACACAGACCCCTGCGCTCCCTTTCCAAGCCTCTGATGCAGCTAGAGAGGAAACATGTTTAGATCATTGCAAGCTATGTTACAGTCTGCGAAGATCGCTAAAAGAACTCTCTGAAAATTTACCTTGTAGCCATCCATGCCGAGATTGACAATTCAGAATCACTGATGTGTGGCGGTCACTAGGTTTCTTAAAATTGCATAAATTATGCCAAATTTATTTACTTATCAACAATAAATTAATGGTCAAACTTCTATGACTACTTAGTCCTCCAGCACTCGAATAATTTCTCCAGTTACGAGGTTGTTTGCTCTCGATGGTCAATCAGTCTCTGCTTTATAAGCAAGTGCAGAATAGTAGGAGTACAAGGACTGTATGAGTTCAGGCGAGTTTTTTACTCCTCCAGCCCTCCCTTCACCGCTAATTCAACAAAGTTACATGTAGCCCATGATTCTTCTCGACCTACCTGAGGAAAAAAGCACGGCCACAATGCACCTTGTAGGCTGTTTCCATCGCCAAAACTTCAAAGCTGGACTTGCATGTTTTGAGAGCAAAAAGTTGGTAATAAGGGGTGTAGGGATGGTGCTGGTGGGGCAATGACATCACTTGTCCCCAATCTCTAACTCGGAGTTTTAGGAAGGAAGTTATTATGAAGCATAATGAATGCGGAGGTCCGAATATTGCATGAGGTCTGTATTTCATTTGCATCGATCTTTTCAATTTATCTACAATGTTTACATCCTTAATTGCATTTGTAACGTTTCTGGAAACTTTTACTGCATAATTAAACCACCTTTACGTAAAAAGAACTTGACTTTTGTTGCACTGAATGAATCTCGTCATTCATGAGATGTTTTGTTTCGCAATGCATACAATCTTACATTTGTGATCTGTGGCCAATCTTTTTGACAGGGGACACTTGAGAAATGCACGCATGATCACGGGAAAAAGGATTGGAAGCGGCGATATTTTGTATTCAAGCACATATTGGCAAGTAACATCAGAAGCTTGGAGTTCTATTCTGTTGGTAACAGTAAGAACTGGCGGACTGCAGAACCTAAAGGAGTGTTAGCTCTATATCCCGGGTATGAAATCATAAAAGTTCACGAACCAAAGCGTCATTTTGTCTTTGAAATTAAAACAATTGATCATACTTATCGTTTGGCGGCTCATTCTGAAGATGAACTTAATCAGTGGATTGTTGTCTTGGAGAGAGAGAATGTTGGTGAGTGAATAGATGACATACCTAATGACATTTGCTCATATTCATGACTGCAGTCTGAGATCATGAATAATTAACAAATCAAACACATTGATTTAATTTTAAGAGTAGAAATGAGGAGTAGAAGGCATGAAAGGGTAAATTAAACAATATTGACTTGTGAATGTTGTAAGGATTTAAAGTGCACCTAAACCCAAAATTTTTTTTCGCTCAACGAAATAAGCTTATTTTTTGGAGTATTTCTGTGCAAAAATTTTTTAATTTGCTCAAATCTTTAATTTTCTATGCCCAGTCAAAATACGGAAAATCGGCCGCCATCTTGCCCCACGACCGAGTTTAAAGAAGAATGGTTCTAGCGGGTAATGTGACGTCAAATCGAGAACACGAAAGTCTGCATCTCACACATTTTCACTTGTTTGGGAAGGTTGTCGTCGATATTGTCCGAAATATGCCGACTAGGTGTGTTGTATGAAGAATGTATGAAGCGCGATACCCTCTTGCAAATTTCGCACGTTGCTACATCCTTCTACAACACACTTAGTCGGCATATTTTCGGACAATTATCGACTACAACCTTCCCAAATAAGTGAAAATGTGTGAAATGCAGACTTTCGTGTTCTCGATTTGACGTCACATTACCCACTAGAGCCATTCCTCTTTAAACTCGGTCGTGGGGCAAGATGGCGGCCGATTTTCCGTATTTTGACTGGGCATAGAAAATTGAAGATTTGAGCAAATAAGAAAATTTTTGCGCAGAAATACTCAAAAAAATAAGCTTACTTCGTTGAGCAAAAAAAAATTTTTGGGTGTAGGTGCACTTTAAGGTCAGTACATAGTAACTGTGGAGTCAGAGCCATACCTTAAGGTGGCTCGTACCAGTTTCCTCGCCTGGGGAACAGGTCACTCTTGCGTGATGTGCGCGAGAGAAACGTGCGAAAGAAGCACGAGATCAAAAGATGAAAATTTGGCGGCGCGTGGAATTTTTTCTACTTTTGTGAGAAGTTTACCTAAGAGCTTGTATTTGATGTGATGAGCGGCCACTGTGAATGCAGGAGATAGAAATTAAGATAACGAAGACGATTTTCGGAGAAGTAAAGGTTGCTTCACTTCACATTTAAAAGAAATATTCAACCGATATGAAATCTTGCGACGGCGAAAAAAGAAGAACCCGAGTGAAGGATAATCTACCTGAAGTGGAAGAAGACTTTGAAACTTCAAGGAAAATAATATGATATAGCCAGAATTCATGTGTAGGATTTTTAAGATGAGCTCGGGAGGCTGTCTTTGACGGCCGTTTAATGATTTTCTTGGCAGTAAACGTCTGTAAACATCAGATCGTAGGTGCTCGTGTGAGCACACGCAATTGTCAGCGGTAGCTAAAACAGATCATGAGCAAATGTCGATCTTATAGAATCCAGATTTTTAAATGCGCGAGAACGCGCGTGGAAATTGCTAAACTCACGAAAGCTATTGCATGAAGACAAGTCCGGTGACCCCTTCTTTTTATTGTTCCAATATGATAATAACGTCGAAAGGAATCATCAGAAAAAAAACTAGAAAATTCTACAGAAGGAAATTTGCGATGTGTGAAAATTACCCTTTTTGTAGATTTTCTGAAATTCCGCTCTGTATAATTTTTTTAAAAATCTTTGTGCATTTTCGTTTTCAAGTCCCAAAAGCAATCACTGAAAAAAATCAAGGGGTCACCGGGTTAGTTTTCGAATTATTTAAGCGACAAGCTAAAAAATGCGTCTGAATAAGCCTATGAAAGCATTGCCATGGAAACTGTTAGTAACGAAATGACACTTATTTTTGGATAACCAATGCTTATGTAATTCAACCCCGTAAAAGTGTTCAACTGGCCTTGGTCAGTCTTTCTGTTGTATTCTTTCAAAGTTACAAACCATCAAAAAGATGAAAACCGGTAGGAGCCACCTTAAGGTATCATGGAAAGCTGGACTTCTAATCAGGGGGCTTTTCAGACAGGGGAGGGGATAACTTAAGAGGGGTCTCTTACAGAACACACAGTCAGTGATTGCTCTCCATTGGAACTGTAATAAAACATGCCTAAGAGGAAGCATGTACAGAAAGATGTCCAGAATTTCAAATGGAGAGAATGATACTCATCTTTGTGTGTTTTTAAAGTGCCTATAACCTCAAAAAAATTTTTTGGCCATGTTAAATCTCTCTATTGCACTGAGCAAAATGCCACAAAAATTTTTGTGTTTGGTTAAAACCATGATTTTTTATGTATTTTCAAAGTCAGGTTTATTTTTGGAATGACCGATGACCGAGTGAACCAGAGACTGGGGCTAGTGACGTCATTCCAGGCCATCAGCAGTGGTGCTCTGATCCAATCTCAGTCAATGTTATACATTCTCAACGAGATGAAACCTTTGCCAAAGCCTGATCTGGTAAATTCTTCTCACCTTTCTCTTACTTTGCTCGCTTTCAGCTGATTTCGTTTCCTCAACATTCCACACGTGAACAGTAGGAATGACGCAGATTCCAACTCCATCTTTTCGCAACCTTCGTTGCATAGTCTTGCTAGTCAGAGCAGAAAACATGACTGAATGGTTATCTTCTCGGAAGTGGTTGTAACACACAGCCGAGTATTTTGTGGGCTTCCAATGTGCATGCTTCAATTGCACAAAGTCAACCCACTTCTTTCTTCTCTTTTTTTTCTCCGGGTCATCTTCCCCATAAAAAGGTATCAGATGAAATGCTATTCTTTTTTCTTTGTTGGGAGTGTTGCTACACCGGAAAACAATGCACTTATCAGGCATATCTGCCAAGATACTTCATCCAGTCCTTGAAACAAACTCGTTGGAATGCCTGGAATGACGTCACAAACTGTGCTCGACCCAGACCCATCTTGATAATTCCGTGCCTCAGTCGTGTTTGAACAAATGTGATTTTCCATGACTTTGAAAATTCATAAAAAATGGCGGTTTTAACCAAACACAAAAATTTTTTGTGGCATTTTTCTCAGTGCAATAGAAGATTTAATATGGCCAAAAAACATTTTTGGGGTTATAGGCACTTTAAGTTAGCCAGTAACAGTATAATGTGATACAACGATTTTAAGAAAATCTTTCCTTTGTGGTTTTTTGGCTTTGGGTGAAAAAAGGCTGAGAAAGAAAGATCTCTAAGTTGTTTCCCTGAAAGGATACATACTGAAGGAGACTGAGGGTAATCATGACTGGACATTTCTGACCTTCTGAAGTTCTTTAAATGTAACCATAAGCTTCCTGTAGACCTTCCTTGCTACTTGTTAACAAACTTCAGGTGTAGGTTTCCAGGTATCACCACAGAGACACATTGTTGCTACCTACCTACATACATCAACTTTAAATACACAATGAATGATAAAAGCTAAACGCTTATGGGTTCATGTGTTTAGTTGTCTAATCAAATGAATAGGAAACTTAATAAATAGCTTAAGGCTCATAACAAATACTCAATGAATGCTATCCTATAGTATAAATCGACTCTTGACAAAAGAATATCTAAAATCTCATATAAATGTAGCTCAGCTGAAATTGTTGAAAATAAGTTCAAAACTCCCTGCTACAAAGATTCAAGGAATCCTTTTAAGAACAAAGTTATGGTTTTTTATTAAGTGTATTCTTGATTTCCTGAACAGTCAATTCATTCTATGTGGATCCTGAAACCACAGACCAGATGTTAAAGCTGGGAGCAACTGGCAAATGTCATCTCCATGTAGCAAACAGTGAGCTACGACTTCTCTGTGCAAAAGATGGAAGACTGCTTGTGGCATGGCCTTTCACATGTTTGCGGCGATACATGAGTGCAAGAGGAAAGTTCATAGTCGAGGCTGGGCGAAGAGCTCCCACTGGAGAAGGAAAGTTTGCATTTTTTACTCCTCAATATGACGAGATTTATAAGCTCTTGGACAACGTTGTGAAGTCCAGAGCAGGCCATAAACCTTCCCATGAAACACTGAAGAAGACACATCCTGTGCCAAACGATAGTGGATCGCCAACTTGTAAAGAGACTGTAGATGATGGGTATGACCAGCTGTCATGCATCCCTGTGACTACATCAAGTAACACAAATTCATTAAAAGACACATATGCTGCTCCCTATGGGCATCTGCCATCACGTGATATGACAAGAACAGGTCCAGTGCATGGTGGTCAAGTTGCATCTCAAGCTGCATCCTCAGATGAGAATCGGTATAACACACAGAGTCAACCAATGCATGGATCTGAGAAACAAAGGATCAGCCAACATGACAAAAAACCTGTTAGTGCAAACGAGTACAATGCTCTTGATCAGCGCCCTGCTTTTCCTCATCAAGGACAGGATATGTACAGTGTCCTTCGACAGGGTCCCAATCCTCAAACAGGTACACATCAGAAAGAGACAGATGATGTTTACAATGTGATTGGAGAGACTTTGCACTCTGTGCCACATGCTAGTATCCAGGAAAGTGAGGATGTGTACGACACCTTGTCCTCTCCAAAAAGAAACATATTGCCATCAAGCACATCAGCTCCTGAGGAAACATACAATGCTCTGGATCATGGCTCACCAGTATTGCCTCCTCGCAAAGGAAATTTTAATAGTCAAGCATCTGTCAGATCACCAAAGTTGGCTGTCAGGAAGCTTTTTGACTCAACACCAGATGAAATTGATAATATGTACAACACACTAAATACACAAAGACATCCACCACTTCCTGTAAGAAAAACACCTGAGCAGTCAATGCTTCAGAAATCCCAACCAGAAGATGAAGTGTACAACATGCTGGATAGTGCTTCAAAAGTGAGACCACTAGCACCTCCTAGAAGGACGTCTGAACAGCTGACGTATGAAACCAACATGTACAATACATTGGATTCGTCTAGTCTGGGAAATTCTGCACTGCATACAACACAACAAGGCAGTGATGAAATGTATAATACACTTAATGTAGCAAGAGGAGGTACATCTCCAATTCCAAATCGACCGAAAAGTTGGACTGCATCATCAGGCATAGGTGATGAGATGTATAATACACTGGGCAATAAAACTATGGCCTCTATTTCCCCCAGAGATGATGACAACATGTATGATACACTTGATAAAACAAGAGGTAAACCTAGTCCAAGTGTGCCTGTTCCAACTCAAAGATCATTTCTCACTACCAGTAACCCTGCCAGAAAAGATACCTTAGGGTTGAAAGGCAACTCTACTTCCTTGTATCATTCAACACGCTGTCCCTTAGATGTCTCATCATCGCCAGCAAAGACTCCTCAATTCACATCTTCCTTGGATGACCCCGACTCTTATGCAAGCATCAGTTATTCAGCTCTGTTGTCCCCTAAAGGAACACAGAAAAATCCTCCAATCCCAGTGAAAAGATCAAGTCCTTGCAAGACTAGAAAAACTAGTGCCCCTGATGTTTTGTCATTTTCAGGACATACTGGTCTGAAGGATGTTAGGAAGCAAGGGAAAGGAAATGTTTCAAATTTGAAGGCTTCCCTGGAAGCAGGAGGTTTAGATTTGACCAAACAACCAAGGAAACCCAAAATGCTCTCCAGAGAAGGAAGTGATGATTTGTCTCCATATGAAGAGAATGCAGAGCAAAGAGGCAGTGAGGTCTTGGCAGAAAATGCTTCTGTTGGTGGGACTTTACCCAACAAACCTGGAAGGTCATTATCATCACTGTCTGATCACGGGGAGGATATTTATGACAAATTACAACACACAGCACAGGTCAAACCCAAGTCTTCACAAATCACCAAAGCTAAAAAAAGTCCAAAGAAACATTAAGTATTTGTAGTTGTTGGTAAATATTTAGGCTCTCTTGCTAGAGCCAAAAGCATTTCACAACTATGTAGACTGAGAACTTGCAAAATGCAAATTCAGTTATCTGTTGGAACTTACAAGATGCCTAGTATGCTATTTTGTTATCAGTGCTATTGTTTTTTTTATAGATAGATATGATAGATATGTTTACAATCAACACTTTTGCAGGCAGAGCTGAAATACAGTGTGGGTCAGAAAATTATACACACAATATACTGGTAACAATGATATAAATAACACTGATAATATTTCAGCAATTTCTCATGTGTGAATAATATAAATAACCCTTAATAAATAATATTTCAACTGCATGTACAACAATTTCATTACATTAAAAAATTAATCATAAATATGCCCTCAAAGGTTATTCCTTATGGGGAAGAATTATTAGTACAGAAAGCTGTGAATCTATCTGTCCTAACTCTGGGTCTCTCTACAAAGAGGCAATCCCCTGAGCAAAGATTGTAACCATGAGGAACTACTTCCTCCATGCAAAGAGACCCTAAAAGTTCAGTATTAGGAAGGTCCTTGACAAACCTGATGCAGGCAAGATCCCTGTGCTGACTTAGGTAAGGAAGGCAGACAAAGCTAAGGATTCCTCATAACCATTATCTGGAAAGATAGTCCACAATGCCCTCCTCTGAACAGCTTCAATAAGATCAGATAGATAGTCAGGTAGAGCTGCCCACACAGGTGAGGCATATTCAACAATAGATCTGATTAATGAGCAATATATCTGCACTAGGTCAGTATGATGGAGCCCTGACTTCTTAAATTTAAGGCCTACAGCCTCTTATTAGCCCCTCTAACAATATACTCAACATGCTTGGTTCCACTTGAGGTCATTGGGTATATATATATTATATATTTTGCACCAATTTGTTTTGATAGAGGAAAAGATTAATTTGATTTTATAAATATTTGTAATGATGACTTGTTTTGAATAGTACTGGAATGCTTGAATTCACATGGGTGCCATGCCCTCCTCTAAAATTTATTTTTATCAATCATTTACGAGCCATCTCAACAAAATTGCCTAAGCGTTATTCTCATTTCCTATTTTACTTGACACTAACTTCACATGGTGTACTGAAAAGGAGATCCGGCAACTTTACAGGCCAGTGAGGTATGGGGCCTTTTGCAAAATACTGGTTAAGTTTAAGATCAACTTCTGACTGATTAGGCTCCATGTTCAGGTGTAGCCAGCCAACTAGAGGTAGTTTCTCCAATATTTCAACATCTCTGCATTCATTACTGACTCACTAGTGGGATATAGATAGAGGGATCCCTTTTCTTTTTCCATTTAATTTGGTTGAAACTCTTTCAAAGATGTGACTGAACAGATAGGGTCCAGTCACAAAATTTTGAAATAATTTCAGGTTTAATCTGTAAATACTTCCACGAATGCAGATATTTGCCTGTTACTGAATTGTTAAAGACATGGAGAAAAATGTTTTTTTCATTTTTTATTGTTTTGTTACATTAATAATTTTATATTACTACAATATTAGACTGAAAATAAAAAAAAATGGAACAAAACAGTAGATTATTGCTGAAATTTCGGTAGTTTCAGGTAACAGATATGTTGAGCAAAAATTATAAAACCATGAAAACTATTTTTTCTTGAAAGAATGCACATACTTATTCATAATTATCTTGTTTCATAATACTTGGTTAGAAAATTTGAAAAGGCCAAAGGCTTTTCCAAGAGAGGGAAAAATATCATACTATTGTCAAATATATTTTATTACAAACTATCTCATCACAAACAATCAATGAACAATGATAGGGTGAAAAATTGTTTCTAGATTTACAATAAAAGTAAGAAATTTGAGTATATTAGAATTACTTTCAAGTGGAGATTTATTTCAAAACAACATATTTTCACATAAAAGTAACGGCACAACATCTTCAACTAGAATCATAAATATATAAATAAAATTTGTTTTGAATACTTCTAAGAAGAAAAACCAGAGGCTCAGGGTAAAATATCTTTTGATTTTTTCTGGCTTTTTTCTAAATTATTTAGCATATCATGTATTGACACATTCAAAGGAACTTAATATTCAAATTACCAACCAAATCTTCCTTGAGGCCCAAGAGATAAGGTTTCATAAATCCTTCTTTGGTAAGAGCTCATGGTAAGGTTAACCACTAATTTGACAAGTATCTTGTAGCACAAAGTTGCAGTGACTTTAGATTTAGGTATCTATAGAATTTAATTTGTTAACTAAGAGAGCAAAATCTATTTTTGATAATAAAGTAAATGAACTCTTTGTTAGTGTTTTCCTGAGATAACCTAGATAAGGCGTGGCTTACACTTACAAGATAAGCATAAGAATCTGAAACTGACTTACCTAGATAAGGCATGACTTACACTTACAAGATAAGCATAAGAATCTGAAACTGACTTATGTGGAAACACACAAGAACCAAAGGAGTGAAACATTTGGCATATGTATACACATAACTGCCATGACAGATACAATGATTGTGTATAAACTGAATCCATTAGTCTAAGCTTCATAATTTTTTATATTTCCTGAAAAAAAAAAAAGAAAGAAAAAGCATCTCCTAATGATGTATTAGGGCCAATTACAAAATAGGAATCAAACTGGTTGGCTAAACTAGACCATTTGGCTAAACTAGACCATTTGGCTAAACTAGACCGGTTGGCTAAACTAGACCGCTTGGCTAAACTAGACCGGTTGGCTAAACTAGACCGGTTGGCTTAACTAGACCGGTTGGCTAAACTAGACCGGTTGGCTAAACTAGACCGGTTGGCTAAACTAGACCCGTTTGCTAAACTAGACCGGTTGGCTAAACTAGACCGATTGGCTAAACTAGACCGGTTGGCTAAACTAGACCGGTTGGCTAAACTAGACCGGTTGGCTAAACTAGACCGGTTCTCTGAGGTGGCCAGTAAGTAGACCACTTAACTTTACTTGGAAATTTGATTTCCTCTTGATGCAGCTCACAACAAAATAATACAGTTTATGGTTATTTTTTCTTCCCACCCTCTTAATGCAGACACTTCTAATTTATTAATATCCCTTTTTGCAAAAAAAGAAAAGGAACTATGAATAGTCCTTTAATAAGAGCTAACCCTTTATTTAAATTCCGTTTCATGGAATATGGAAAAAAAATACCGTACTAGACAAAACTGGCTCCATTATTACTGTATGAAATGATTGTATATCATGTTATGTTAGAAGAACAATTACATCATAATCTAAAAACTAAGATGTTCCATCACACATGGTACTCTGGTGACATGTCACTTTTCTTGTTGAGTAAGGTGTGAAACTTCTGTTAATGTCCTCTCCAATGCCTCTACCTGACCCATGTATGAGCCTTTCTTTTCAGGCAATACAGGCAGATTAACAACACGCTCAGCTCTTTCTCCTTGATGGTCTGATTGGTCAACAAGGCTTGTTTGTGCCCAGGAAACTATTTCAGTGCAAGGTTTTTGTGGAGGGATCATGGCGATGAATGCATCTTCATAGTCTTTATGCTCAGTATCTGCTGCAAAAGCTGCAAAGTGGGTGACTTTTGGTGGTGACCCTTCCAAGATTCTATCAGAGCTCTTACTTTGATGTCTTGTAAGAGTCACTGCACTATCTGAGGCTCTGTCTGCTGGATTTTTGTTCTTTGTCTTTTTACTTAGATCCACAGTAGCATAGAGAGCTGGCAAAACCTCAATACTAGAGGAATGTGCTGCATTCATTTATAAAAAGTTTGGAGAGCCAACTACAGAAATAGGTTTGTCACTACGTGAAAAGCTTTGTCTTCTCTCAGAATGATCATCAAATGCCACTTGCTGTGCTGACCTTGGTACACTGGGTGGTTTTTCATTTGTTGGAGTTGGCCTGGATTCTTTTGAATGCTCATTACCATTTGTTAATTCATTCTTCTTTCTGGGTAAAGTGGGTGCCATTTTTGCCCCATGTGATTTCTGGCCAGCAGATGGCTGCTCCTGCATCAAATGTCCTTGTTCCATTTGAGATCTTGTGTCCTGTAAACACCACAAGATGTATCATGGAGTCAGGCCTGTCTGGCAAGCAGAACAAGGTATAAAACATCTTGTAAGTTAAAAAAAAAAAACAAAAACAGCTTTTTGTTTCACTCACTTCCACAAAGCAAACAAGTATGATGGTCCCATGACCACTTAGTTTGAAGTTTTAACACTAACCAATAGCCTATAGGAATTTAAGGAATTTAATTTGTTTGCCATGGGAATGGCAGGAGAAAGGAACAGAACTTTCGTCCCCATTGACACCTAACCCCTTTGTACCCACCATCCCACCCCGGGGAGGACATCCACCACACAGTAATCACATGCATGGGAAATTAATATCTCCTACCCCTAACCCTGCAGGAGACAGGACCTACAGTTTTATTTGTCCTTATCCGAGAAGACTAGAATATCTATCCATTTCTTGATATTATAGTAAGGTAGCAAATTCTACTCGGTTATTTTAAGACCATGAGCATTGGTCCAGCTGGGGCTCGAACCCTCGACCTCCCACACAACACAACCCGGCGCTCTAACCAATTGAGCTAACCAGGTGTGGTTGCAGAAATCTATGGAATGACCTGGCTCTACTTATCACCACTTAATGTTTCTTTTACCTTGAGCTACGCATTACCATTTCTCTCTGTTTTCATCCTTATGATTGTTTTTTAGAAGAATAATTAAATTTCCACCAACTTAAAGTCCCCCATTTTTCCAAGATACAATGGTGGGTAGCTTTTGTTACAAAGGATGTCAAACATATTTATGTCTATTAAGAGGAATACAACCCATCCTTGTAAAAATAACAAAGAAAGCTGAATTACTATTATACAGCATTTTTGAGGTCCCTCACCAGTGACTGAGAAAAGTTACGGCTTGAAGTACTTGGTGAGCGAGCTAATGTGTCATAGCTTCCTTCCTGTATAGTGTTTTCTGTCTGCACCGAGCTAAGTGTGTTGTACTGGTCCCTCACGTAGGTTGAATTGGATGTGTGGGAACCCCAGCTTGGAAGCCTCTCCAGACGACTGTAGCTTAGAGCAGATTCTGAGACCATGGAGAAGCTGCCAAGACTGTGTGCACTACCTATACTATCTGATCTGCCTATGTGGTTGTATGCTTGTTGTGGTGGTGTTCCTGTATCAATGGGCCGAGGCAAGCTCTGGTTCACATGTCTAACAGATCTGTCTCGATTCCCTGGAGAAAAATTAATATCTTTAACCAAAGAGAGTTCAGTTGTAATGTTGAGTAGTTAAGTACAATGACCGTCATAATATCATCATTACCTGAGAAGTTTTGGAGGCTAAACCTGAGTTGATCATATGCACGTTCAATGTCATCTTCTGTCAGCTCATTTGAAGCTGCTGGGGATCGGGAGTCCCTTCCCCTCCTGACACGGGCAGAAGCAAAACTGTCTATCACATCAAAAATCTTGTTGTCATCACCATTGCATGTGACAAAGTTGTATTTCCCTTCACCCATAGGTGATGCTCTGCCAGCCTCAAAGATAAACTCGTTGGAATCCAGAGCTTCATAGTTTCGAATTGTTGTCAAGGGCCACTGAGCCAGAACAGCTCGAGTACACTCCAGAGCCAGTGACAAACCCCACCTGGAGATATGCAGGAGACACTGTTGGTCCTTAGCTCCTACTCTCTGCATTTGTCGGCTGCCACTGCCTTTGACTCTGAAGACCTCACCTACAAGACAAATTGGGATACATCATACTGATATTAGAAGGACTGGTTGTCTTTCTTAGACTTAGCATTTCAGAAACCTGTTTGAGAGTAGTTTGGTGAGTGTGAAGCACCAGAGGTACAAATAGGTTTCTTTGACTCTAACCTGCTACCCGTGGATTTAAGGTAGTTTGCATTTGTAACTGAATCACCCACAGGTCCATCACAGTTTCACTCTCTGCGGCCAAAGTCAATGTTTCAGTATCAGTACTAATCTCAAACACATACTGCTTTGACTTTTGTTCCATTCTTTTGAACACCTTATATCTGGGAAACAATTCTAATGTCCCTCGTGGCCTTTGCCTCTGCCATCCTTCTTCTCTATCAAACCACTGCAGGAAAGGTTGGTCTCCAGCACAATATTTCCGTAGCACATAGAAATTCCTCTTCCATTTCTTAGTGAAAGACTTTTTCAACCAGCCTTTGCTTTTAGCATCATCTTCTGTCGGTTTCTCTAGCCATCCCTAACAAGTAATAAAATTAATAAACATCACTAAGAATTTAGATTAAAAAAAAAACACATTATATTGATGGTTGTAATAACAGATTATACTTCATGAATTTTTTTATTATTAAGTATACTGTTTATTTATCATTATCATACCCTTGTAGTGGTAGTAGGAATATCTCTTGTTGTGTTCATTTTTCTAGTACCCTACTTCAACAATTCCATGGCTTCTTGTCTCATGCAAAAGAAATCCCTTCGTCATTCAACCATTTTTATCTATTTTAGAAATTTCACCCAGTGGGTGCGGAACATGAGATGACTACGGGTTCTTGAATTACTTGCCAATAATTTTGGATTTGAAAAAAAAATTGTTAAAAAATAATGAGAGGATTTAAGCTAACTTAATGACGTCACAGCACCGTTCAATTTGAGCAAACTTTGTAAAACACTCTTCATAAGCATGTTTATACTTAGATAATTCTATCCAAACCATACAAACAAACGATACTGTAGATGACTGTTTGGTGATAATTGCCTTCACAGTTGAGAGCCTGTACATTTACGTTCGCAGCAAAAAGGAATTTTAGCCTTATAAGGAGTTGATACCTGAACAAACAAAACTAAAACAAACAGAGTGATAAAGTGGATGTGGGATTACTTGTGACTTCATTCAATCACAAAAGTATGCTGTAAGGATAGTGTAAATAATGATGTGCATGTCCCTACTTGTTCCGAGGTTAGATAAACTTGCAGTCACAGCCGGGTGAAAAGATTGACTTTACGTAGAATTGAACCATGCAAAGTCACGATAGCGGAACAGGCTTGTAAAACATTCCACACTTTAGACAGTAATTCACAACCTTCCAAATCACCGAAATAGAGATATAGAGATGAATTTTCTAACATACATCTGCCTACCTCAAATATATCTTCAATGTCCTCCAGATCCGACATAACGCGTTGTCTCTAATAGAATGGATTTTACTCAAAGCGCTGTCGGATTGCCAAGTCAGTCACTTGCGTTCAAAGGATCGAACGATTGCGATCGGTCAAACGGAATTGTGGCCTAGAAACATCCCTCCATAGACTAAAACCAAATCCTTTGAATACTCACAACCTCAATGCACAGACAGTACCAATAACGTCCCACATTACTCCATTCATTAGATGGTCGCGTTCTGCGTTTCACACCGGAAAAGTGGACTTTAGTGGGTGACGCATGTGAGGGGGACTGGACAGTTGGGTGTGGCCAGCAGGATCACATTCTTGAGATGGTTAGAATCTGGAACAAAATACATTAATGTATATATTTTTAAAATGTCAATCGATTATGTGTTTTTTTTTTTAAATTTCGTTTTTCTTTGTGACAAGAACTGGACCAATGCCGATCATAGTGGATCCTGTTTGCAAAACCCTGCACCAGGCCGCTTTCCGTAGCCTCTGATTTTTTTTCCTTCGATTCTTTAGATTTGTATTTAATTATGAGTTCTATCCACCGTCAAAAGATAATTCCGTTCTAATTCCCGAGACTCTGGTAACTAGTACAAAATTTGGACCGGCTAGAGGTAAGCCATTTACTCGTAACGTTTCCTCTTATCTGCAATCATGCACAGCGGTACATGAAGGCGATCGATCTAAATGAAAGGGGTTAGGCCGGACTAAGGAATAACCTGCTTTTAAAGTACGAAGGGCCTGTAGAGTAATGGTTAAGTCCTCCTCTCCATCTGCTTGAGTTTCCAGGTTTTCTAGTGAGAGACGTCCCTAAAAAGAAAATCATTTCTCCAACTTCTAATAAAGGACTTATCCAGTTCTGACTTTTGTTACAATATTCAACACAAGTCATACGACATTAATACCTCTCATTGTGTTATTTTAAACATAAACATGAGTTTAATCACTTGCCGGATTCTTAAAATTTTCAGGAGAAGGGGGAGATTCTTTACGAAGTCGTTTATTCTAAATCCTCGTCAGCATGTCATCAGAATATGCTGAGTTTTGAGACTGAAGAAGCCATCAAAACGTCAGGTGATTATAAAAGACGGAGGTCGCTGTTGAGTGAGCTCCTCACACTTTGATGATCCCTTCATTACTAGTCGTTCGATGACCACGTAAATTACTGTAACCCAGTGCCTCGTCCTTAATCAACCGTGTGATGTTTTGCAATTAGACTAACAAGAACTGCGTAACAAAGATAATCGAAAAATCGTAAACAGCTTGAAATAGCATATTACCATGAGATTAAAAGAAGTATATATGAACATCTGACTGAGGCAATTTGGACTTCTAAATTATATTGATATTTTGGACCATTACGATTCCTATTTACTCAACATATAATTGTAAGTTTATATAGAAATGAAAGAAACTATCTTTCAATGCCCCCCGCCCCCCATATTGAAATGAATTTTCAATATTTTCCTGGTAAAAAGATTTACGTGAGATGCAAAAATTTAATTTGAATATTTATCTGACCACACAGGGTTACAGATCACTATTACAACTCCACTAAATATTTTTCCAGTGATGTTTGTACCGTTGCTCTTTAATTCGCTGTTGTTCCGGTTTTGCTTTCCGTGCAAAACATCTAAACGTTACAAACAACATCCTAAACGCTTCAAACATCCAAACGCTACAGAAAACAACTCTTTACAGTTCCTACGGAACTCGGCACTGAAAAAAGAGTAGACAAATGCATTCGCAGTACTATTAAATAGCATGAGATAATAAGCTACTATAGCATATTCTCTGGGCACAGCAACAGACAACGCGATTAAAAATAAGTAGGTAGCGAAGGGAACAGAACATAACACAAATATGGCTGTTAATAGAAATACAATTAATACGACTCCTCGTCTTCGCTGGTCGGTTGTGGGGCGGAACTTACTGAAAAGTTTTGAGCCTTGACCACGCAGTAATGCATGAATAACGGCGACATTAGTACACACGATAAAAGCCAGCGGAACTAGGAAGGTAGCTGAAAGAGTAGTTAGTAGGATCACTGTTGTGTCAGTACCTCGGAAAAAGTCGTACGAACAAAACGGAATTAATCCTCGGCCACAAAACGGCGCTTCCAATCTCTTAAGGAAATAAAAGTCGGGGAGAGTGAACAAGAGAGAATAATACCATGAAAATATTATCATGAACACAGTGCGACGTGTGTCGAGCGTAAAGTCAAATGGTCTCACCACCGCCAGGTAACGCTCTAAAGAAACACAACAGATTAAACAGGATGAAGCTGAGAGTGTGGTCCATGTTAAGCCACCAATAATTTTACAAACAGGTGTGTTAGAGTGCTCTGAATCGATTCCTATTGCTTCATTTATGTTGTACACGATACAAACAGCCATGTCGGCCAAACACAAGTTTTGAATGAGCAGTTTCATGGATCCGCATTGTCCGTTGCGCTTCATTCGCTGTAGAACGAATATAACGAGTGTATTTCCCAAGAGTGAAATGATTAAGAACAGTTTACTAAATACCACTTCGCCCATTGTGTGCCATGATTCAGGAGGAATTGAACATTTGCAAAACTGTTCGTAAACGCCTCTTTCCTTCTCCGACTCAGGGAAAGTTGACCCACTACAATCGAAGAGAGCCTTGGAAACATTCATCAGTTGAGCTTACGTAACGAAGTCTCTTTGTAAGAAACCTTAAGTGGAGACCTAAGTTGCTCTTTGTAGGTTGCTTGTTTGGAACAGTGACGGGCCAATGTGAAAACTGCTGCTTGGCAAACTCTTGGCTTGATTCGTTTACCGATGCAATCAATAAAGATTGGTCAACTATTGAGTGCAAAGAATAAAAAGTTGCTTCGAAAACGTCTCAAACAATGGCTAGGCCTACTGGCGCCCTTTGATCTGTTGTGTTTTGACAATTTGAGTAATTTGACTATCTATGGCTCTTTTGAAAGAGCACAACACTTCTGAGGCATAAAATTATCGCCATGTACTTTGTTGAAAGCTCGCTAACGTCATGAATAACAAATTAAAGAGGAAAAAGAAATTTTGCATATATTTTCTCTCTTAGAAAACAAATAGATCACTTGAAAGTGGGCTTGTTAGATTCTACTCAAATATCGTTAAGTGTTTAGTTAAGACAGTAGGATTAACAATGCCGCAATAATTCCAGTCGGCGAGTGTAGTTTGAGTTTAATTTGTGTCAGAGTGTTTGTGTTCATAATCCCCTGGCGGCGTCTAATTAATAAAATGTTTGACAGATGTACAATTTTCATATCACTCTGACCAAAAGATGTGTATATATTCCACTGCAAATACACCACACTGATAAAATATACGTAAAACATAAAATTCAATATAATTACATGGTTCTTACAATCTACCCCTACACTGTATTTCAATGTTCTGTCATTAAATGTAACACAAATAGTACAATTCATGAAGCATACACGACCAAACAGATGTTAGAGGAATTGTCACTACCAAGGCTCCAGTTCTGGGGAAGTCCTTTTTTCTCCATTTTCCTCCCCATCGCCTAAATCATCCAGGCCTTCCATGGCCGCACGAAGCTCTGCTTCTAAATCAAGATTTAAGTCTAATCCCTCCGTGAAATCTGGAGTGCTGACGATATCTGGTGACGCAGGGGGCTGGGGTAGATCTGTGTTGTCCTTCTCAGCCTGTTCTCTCTCACCGGACTCCTCTGTTGTTGCATCTTCATTAGCAGACTTGCTGTCGTTTTGTTTTTCAGACTCCTTTTCATCACCTCCAGTTTCATTCTGTATTACTTCATCAGTTTCTGTTACAGGTAGATTTGCTTCATCACCAGCAACAAATAAAGAAACGGGGTTTCTATCTAAATTTATATCCGGAGTATCTTGTGAGTCTTTGTTTTGTCTTGTTTCAACTGTTTCTGTCTCTTCAGTGATTGCGAGATCTGTCTCTTTTTCACTATTACTCTCAGATTTGATGTGTTTTGAATGTTGACCAATGTCAACTTCGTTGCTTTCATCAACTTCGTCTCCATCCTCGACTTCTGAGAGGTTAGCCACAGCATTCTCACCTTCCACTTGGCTTGTGCCATCAACCCGACCAGCTGAAGTAATACTGCTTTTCTCTTCTACTTCACAGACAGGATCCAGTCTAGGGGTACCAGGAACAACTGGGGCTACCAGTGTTAGCTCTGGGGAAGGAGGAGGGGGAATGGAGCCAGAAGTATCCATGGAAGGTGATGTAGCTCGTGTGTCCATTGAATATTTCCCTGGCTCATCTCGTGTGAAACTACCAAGTGTCGAATCCGACAGAATCTGATGCACTAACAATTCTCCTGAATCCTTGGGAGAGCTCATACGAGGAGGGGTACTCTTTGGCCTTCGAAGCACGTGTTTTGCAAGAGGCTGTACAGTTAAGGACTTCGGCAAACTTTCCTTCGGGGGCTGTTTTAGAGGTCTTGGGGCTCGCCTTGAGGGTGTATCTACGAGCTGAATGGGTGTCCTTGAGCGCGGAGCTCTCCAAGCCGGTGCCATGTAACCACGCAAATCAGTTGTTGTTTCAGGCTCTTTCACAATGTTCGGTTTTCCTGTCATTTTTTGGCCTGCCACATGCATTCCTTTTCTCCCATAGGGATCTCCTTGAAATTCAGCGAGAATATCCTGAGGGATGAAAGTTTTACTCCCTGGACTTGGACTTCGAAGCATTCGGGGCATGTCATCGCTGTTCTCTATTACATTGATTATCATTTTATCTTGCGGCCATTCCTGTGCATCTTTCTTGTTTAAAACCAGACTCAGGTCACGAGAGAGAGCTCCTTCCGTCAGAAAAACTGGTTCAACAGCAAATTCTTCTTCCACTCTCTCCCCCTCAGGACTTCCCAGGGCCTCTCGGCTAGTCTCGGGTTCGTCCTCGTCATACACACTGGTCAAAGTCTCTCGCCTCCTAATGTAGCGAGAAGTGACGGAATTGTTATGTTCCCTACTCTGTGGAGTACGGGAGAAGTACTGGCCGTGTCTGTCTGGGCTATTGGGAGTAGGAGCCGGAGCATGCACTGGAGCTGGAGAATATCTACAGCGAGAACAAAACAAAACCAATGAGATCTTTGCCTCTCTGATAGTTTGTGCCTAGGAACACCGTAATGGTGATGTTTAAAAAGTGACAAAGGTTGATTACGGATAGAATCAGTTCCCTCATCTGTTACTTTTTTTTCCGAGTTCATTTACCTTAAATTCACTTTTCTTTTTGCTCCTGCACAGTCGCCTGAAGTTAAGTGGAGGTCGCACTTCCAAGCCTTTACGTTTTGAACTCGGAAATGAAATCGTCCTACTTACAGGCAATCCCGCTACTTCCTTGGAACTGGACCAAAATAATCCTTGCAGGAAAGCAAGTTACTTACTCACGGGCAACTCACCTGAGTGCAGATGTCATGTGACCTCGCAGAGGCCAATGGAGATTCATCTGATCATCACAAGACGAGATGTACTCACTGCCATTGGCTAAAACCACGTCTGGGGAACTGTTAGCCAAGGTACACGGCTGAGATTCTTGACCTTCCATCTCTTCTTTTGGCGTTCCCGTGGGAGTTGGTGTGACTGATACAACATCAACTGGTTCCAATGCCACGCCCAAATCCAGGTTACGAGGAATGGAGTTAACACAGTGATGTAACTTAGACTTCGCACGATGCTCAAAGGGAACACCCACAGATGCAAGAGGCAATAGTTCGCGACCTCGTTTGCCGGCAAGTCTATCAATGACTGTTTTGATCAGCTGAGGTTGCAGTTGGTCAGTGTCTTGTTTCGATTCACTGTTGATCTTCAGCCCACCCTCCTCCTCAGTAAGTTTTTCGTCCCCAGGGGGGGTAAAGTGTGAGTTTATGTCAATATCCAGCAGCATGCGCGAGTTTTCATCTTGCAAAGTTTGTTCCAAAGTATCGCCTGTTAAGTTTTCAATACTTTTGAATTGTGTACTTAGATCAGTAGCTGTTCTTGGACTTGATTGTTGTTTTGGTTGAACTTCTAGTCCCAGAGGCAATTCATGACTGACAGCGACTTGGCTAAAAATTGGCACAAATGATAACGTTTAGTAAAACTGGTATCGTCACTACAGCGTATCTGGGAGACATCCAATTTGAGTTCAAAACCAGGAATACATATAAAGGTGTACATTCACTTTTTTAGACTTTGGATTGACCATTAATCAAATGAATAAGGCTGCTATTTTTAGCTCTTACGGCGGACAAAAATAGAAGGTTTAAGAGACTTCCTGCATAAATAAGTGGTGCAGCCCCAAAATAACCGATGCAGCCCCAAACAGTTTCTTTTGAAACTATCAGCCTTTACTTACAGTATAGTCAAGTTATCTGCTAATAATTGATATTTTTCACTGGCCATACAGTCCTTTACTTATGATACATGTATAACCCTTTGTTAAATAATATGGTACATGAAACTGTTAAAAGATTGGCTAACGAGTTTATCGGGTAACTGTCAGAATGACTAAGACACACCCAAGCCTCTGAGGATAATTGAAGACTGATGCTAACAATTCTCAAGAAATTTTCCTTGGAGATTGGCTGATAAACAAGCCAGTTGGTCAACTGCTATCCTTCAAATGCAAGGCATGAATTCAGACAATTTCTACAGGTTTGGGGATCCTAAACCATACCTTGGTTTGAAATGTTGAATGATTCCAGTAATCACTGACTTGGGAAAGTCTCCAAAATCTCCAAGTCTACAAAAGAGGAACAAATTTAAGGCAACCATGGCATGCTCAGTCACTGGTAACCCTAAATAGTCAAGTTTGAAGCACGTCAGGCATTAACAGATAAAGTATCATTACATGAATATAAACTTACTTTTTACAATATACTACATTTATTTTTTTTTTACTTACAATAAATATGGAAACTTAAAATACTTATGAGTGCATACAAATACTTACAGTATTCGCTCCGACGAAGGGCTAACGCTCTAAACGTCAGCTTTTGTAATCGTTACGGTGGCCAATTTACTATTTCAACTTTGTTGATATATCCAAATTATTTCGTTACACACACCGATGCAGCCCCAAACAGTTTCTTTTGAAACTATCAGCCTTTACTTACAGTATAGTCTAGTTATCTGCTAATAATTGATATTTTTCAGTGGCCATACAGTCCTTTACTTATGATACATGTATAACCCTTTGTTAAAACTAAAATTTGTTAAAACATAGAGTTAATGAAGCCCACTTACAAGACAGTAAGGTCAAACTGTTAACTGTTATCCTTATTAGATGACCCAAACAGATTAAATTTCTTTATATGCCAGAAAGAAGGAAGGAGAGAGAATAATATAAGGTAAGTTTACCTCAATTTTAGAAAGTGTTTCCAGAATTTCTCAACTTTTATGGATGATGTCTTTGCTCAAAGTCATAAATCAAGTTTTGTTTTGAGGAGGCAGCATGGCTGAGTGGTCAGTATGTCAGACTCACAATCCACCACTCCCAGATTTGAGTCCCACCATGACCACTACCTAGATTTGTTTCGCTGTAGCTCCAAGTGCAAATCCTTGGCTTTCGGCCAGTTAGGATTCTTAACATTGTCATGCTCAATGTTCAATGTTATGTATAATGGTTTGGTCCAAAGTTTCATATGTAAAGTAGCTATCAATCTATAAATATCCTGTATTTATTCATAAAGACCATACCCATAACTGGAGAGGTCTAAGTCCTGGATATGCATTTTGGGATGACACCTTCCACGACTAGGATTATAAGGTTGTCCAACAGTGGGAGATCTGCGAGGTTTTGGATGTTCCTGGTAAAAATATTCTAAAAATTGTCTCATGGATATCTCATACTATCTTATACTTAAGATTTATTTATTCATTGTAGTATATCATTATGAACTTAGGTCAAATCTACCAATCAATATCAAAATTATGATTTTTAAATTTATCAGAAAACAAAAGATGTCACTACTAGGCAACAGATAATAAACCCACAAACTTGATAGCTTTCTCCTAAAAGCCTCTTGTGGAGGTTCACTGTTTTACACGGAATTTTATATACACTTAGTACCTAATTAACAATTATATACTCCTATCAATATTCCAAGTTATCTGAGCTTAACAGTAGATTGAAAAATACAGGTCAATATTTTAAAAGGGTTGACATTCTCTTCAATAAGGTTGAAAACATCCATTCAAAGTTTAAACTTACTGGCTTTATTTTTTCCATGGCAGCTGGAATCATGTCCTCTGTAACATCTTTAAAAGAAATTCTGTGAGGATCCTTCCTCCTTGAATTTGATCTGAAAACACCAAAAACATACAAAGATAAACTGGATTTGTTGAAAGGTCTTCTTCCCCCTAACCAAACTATAAACTGTATCAGACGTAAAGGCACATTGCAAAAGAAGGTTTGAAAATCAATAATTGTTTATGGAGAAGCCTGAATCCATGTAGAAGTCAGTACACCTAATAGGGCAAAATGTATATCCTACATGCTACAAACAAGGTAGGTATACTGTTAGGTAATGGCAACATTTATCTCATGTACAGCAACTCACAGCTCAAGATATCAAAAGTATAACGAACTGAGATCTTCTACAGCTCACTGATGTTGATTCCACACAAGATCTTCCATGTGTGATCTCATAAGCTCTTATAACACCAAGTGCATCCTCTTATGCTGGTGTTACACTATTTTTTTTTATGACCTGCTCTTGATAGCTGCCACTAACAACATGTATCTAAAACTAGATACCTGTAATTATTTCAACTTCAATCAATTTCTAGAAACATTTAAAAGACTTCTGACTACAAATAATATGAAAAAAAATATGACTCCAAAGCAGCTAAAACAGGAGATATCTTACCCAGTGCTTTTTGCTTTCCTTCTTTTTCTCTAAAAATTAACAGAATAAAGTGAAAAACAGCTAGCTTGGTGGACATGCAGTGAACAACATAAACAAATTAAAATATAGGTATATATTACATATTATGACAATATCGTAAAATTTTACCTCAGGATTTTACTTAATTCTATCCTTCTCAGCTCTATAGTTTCAACAACATTATTTAAAACATTCATGTAACTGCAAGCCTTGAAAATGTTTGAATTAAAAGAGTCAACAAATTACAATCATTATGAATGAGTTATTACCTTGCTAGTTTGGCACCATATAAGATATGCTGAAGCAATGTACACATCTTTCCAGTCTTGTAATAATTCATCATTTTCATACAACTCATGAACACCAACAATTGAAGCCTTTTCCTTCCTAAGTTCACCACCAGTGGGTTCTCTGACAGCCTGTAACTTTTTCTTCCATAACATACGTTTCTGGTAATCTGTCAACATTGTTGGTGAAACAGGAGATGGACGTGGTACACGCACAGATGGAGTGCTTGTAGATGAATGCTGATGATCGCTGGATAATAATATCAAATTACATTCAAAACAATCCTTGAAAATTTAATTACCACGACTCATTAGATCAGTTCAACACTCTGCACTCAGCTGCTGTTTGCAGCAGGTGCGTAATAATGAATTTATAAAGGAAGCTGAAGTTATATGCTTTCTAAGACTCAGTCACTCGACAGTGTCAAGCTTGACAAGCTAGATAATTTGGATATATCAACAAAGTTGAAATGGTAAATTAGCCACCGTAATGATTACAAAAGCTGACATTTCGAGTGTTAGCCCTTCACCATTCGCTCTGACGAAGGGCTAACGCTCAAAACGTCAGCTTTTGTAATCATAACGGTGGCTAATTTACCATTTCAACTTTGTTGATATATCCAAATTATTTCCTTACTCCCACCGACGCAGCTCCAAACAGTTTCTTTCGAAACTATCAGCCTTTATTCAATTGACAAGCTAGAGACACATTGTTTAAATGATTATCAACGAGAAGTTGATTGATAAATGTTGAGATAAGTTACTGCAATTTGAAAAGCCTTTGGCTGCTGCACTTAATGAGTCACCTTACTCTACACAATTAATATTTAATTACATCATTCATTCTCTATCCAACAAAAGAACTGTCAGCCTAAACTTCAATACAAGTAAGACATTCATGTCTTATACCTAAGATCCGGTGATAATGAGGGTAACGATGCTGATCTGTGATGGAATCTGTTTGTTTGTGATATGCTGCTACAATGTCTTGCACTGTTACTTCTCAAGTTTGTTCCATCAAAGACATCAACAACTTTCAGTGTTGGAAGGGTGCCTTCATGGAAAATATCATGTTGAACAAAAAATATTTCATTTTCAATAAATACTAGAAATACATGATACCTCTCGTATTCAATTTGAACTTCCAGTGTGAAATACCAATAATTTAGTTGAGTGCATGTTTGAAGAAATAAAAACATCCCTCTATCCTCAATTTGCTGTAAAATAGGAACACTTCTCTAGAAACCCTTCTCAATCCAAGTTTCAACTGGAAGACGAGTTTGGAAACAATACATCCAACTTTCTCAAAACAGTAAATAAAGTTGTATCTCAGTATGCAAGCTTACATTGGGTTATTTCCCAACAACTGCATCCCATGGAAGAGATAAGAGTAAAGATACAAAAGCAGGCCACTAAAAAAGCAAGGATAAACATGTACCACACAAAAAGCAGTCAGAACTGCATAGAATCGTGACATGGTGATTGTGTCCCAATCAAATGACAAAATTGTGTGACAAATGATAATAGTCGGTAAATATCACCAAGCTTTCTTTCTTTTATTTTCTTTTTTTATTACATAGCCCCCTCCCCCCCCGACTTACCTAAAGCTAAAGCGATTTAAGGAAAAAACACATGCAGACGTGTACAGCTGTTACAGGAAAGGTTTCAAAGGTAACTTAACGTAACTCGTGTTGATTGTTAATCGTGTAACAAACACATTCGGCGCGTGCAAGCATCCGACTGATCTCTGTCTCCTTTCTTACCATCATCTAATCTTTTCCTTTCAGACAAAGTATGGAATTCTTTACTTTCCAATGAATCACCAGGCTGGATTCCATTTCTAAGTCTAACAGCATCTTTCACTCTTTGCAAGTTCGATCTCCAACATTCAGGATGCTGACACAAAGCACCACATGAACTTCCACTTTTCATGGCTCTTTATTGTACCAGCCTAGTCTACAGGCGTCTACAGTGTCAAGAGATAGACTGTGTAATCCTAATCGGCATTTTTTTCTGACATGACAGATCAGATCAACTAAATATCACTATTTTAAAAACACAAACGCACCACTTTGCCTTTTGCTTACTCATGACGTCACAATACTTCCTAGCAACCACTCACCTCGTGCGTGCGACTTGTGTTTTCTTGGGTTGCTTTCTAATAACCCATTACAGAGTAAAACGTGACGAAGTTTAGGAATATTTTCTCTTTTATGTACAAAAAATTGATTATGAAACGAGGGAGAGAGAATTTCTCTGACATCTCTCATGATGATCTGGGTACCTAACACCCAACGGGTGCGGATACAGTCACCTGCGGCCACTCCTCTAATTTGTAACACTTTCGCCCAGACCTTGCGCATTTATTACAAAAATAAAACAATCGTGCAGGCGATGAAGACATTGAAGAAAAGGAAAGTAATGACTGTGTTTTGTGGATAGAGTTAAGTTTTAATGGCTGCTCGCAGTACTTCAACCAGTATGGACGTGAATCCAAAAACTCAGAACTACCAGCGGGCTATCGGTGGTGGAGACAAGACTGAACTTTTAGAAGAAGGTAAGGGTAAGACAATTCTGTCGGCTGAACGATCGCACGATGTGAATAGTTATCTGTCAACCTGAAATTTAAAAAACAATGAATCCCTCTCCGCGCTTGTGGTTTAGTTTTGATGCTTTGTAGATGTTTCACGGGTAGGTTTGTAGTTGATCAGAGCAATCTAGGTTTCTATGGTGAATAGATTCAATGTATTTACTTTTGAAAAGATGAAGCCATTTGAATGTTAATGTGGACTCAAGTTATTTCAATGTGCCGCCAAGCGATGTTAGCAAATCAGTAATTACACTGAACCTGCCACTTGCTAAGAAAAAAACCACATGCAGTTTGCATTGTTGTCTTGTTGCCGAGAGCTGGTTGAATAATCATTATACCCTTCATTGTACATTTATTTATATAATTTTTATGTGTTTAATATGTATATTTCTGGCTCGATCTCCTCATTCTTTTGATTCTCTTACTTCAGTTCTCATGCTTTGTCCTTGAGGGGTGTAGAAGGGCTAAGGATGAAGAGGAATAGGGTTATGGATATTTTTCAAATATTTGCCACTGTTCACAAGGAGAATTAAACCCCATTTGTATGGTCTCTGGTACCTGAGACAACCTTACCCCTGTGTTACCCTGGGCAAGTAGACTTTTCACTCATTTCTTTGCAAAACTCAGCCACCTGTTTACAGGAAGTAGTGAACTTGTCTTGGGGGGTGAGTTGACTCACCTTGGCAGTTAGGGGTGGGACAACTTTTTCTAATGTAAACACCCTGTCTCACCCACCCGAGACGAGACAACTTGAACAGAAAATGAGAGTGCACACTTCAACCAGAGCCCATACATATTACATCTATTCTTTTCCTGTTGTACATCACCTGGCCTGGCCTAACAAGAGTTGGCAGAGGTCAAATTTCTTAGAAAAATTCTGTAGAGTTGTCTTGCAGGGAGGGATGTCTCGGGTACCCGAGACTATATAAATGGGGCCTTAATCTTGAATTAAACATTACATGAGGCAATGAGTTGCACCAGAAAAGAGATTGGTGTTGATAAAGAATACATTTAAAACACTGACTATAAGTATCCAACCCACAAGCTTAAAGATCAATCATTTTAATCTCATGTCAGCCTAAATGTGCCAACAAGTGTCTCATACCCAAGAAAAAAACTTTGGATATTAAAGCCTTGATCAACATTAAAAGTAAAATATACTTAAATCGATCATAGAAAATAAAGGCCTTTATGAGTGATTATGCTTCCTACAAACCTCTAATTTTAGAAGGAGAATGTCAAGGAGGAGGAGGTTTGTCTAGAAATCTGTGGGGCACCTTTGGCAATCTTGCCATATATCTGGATATCGCTGGGTCTTCCATTTGTCTCTGGATATGATTGGGTCTTCCATATTTCTGGATATGATTAGGTCTACCATTTAAAGTCCTGAACTACCATTTAAAACATTTTGTGCCTCAGCTCCATTACAAGGAGTTGACAGTTGAACTCTGTGTCATTTACCAGTTCAATGAAATTTATTTGGTTGTTTGATATTTTACATATGTGATGCAGGGATGATAGAATTGATTGACAGGTTAAATTACTATGTAATCTACTTTGATTGGCTAAATTTTTGTAGTGGGAGATATTTAATTCAGACATGAATTCCTTCTGTAGTATGTTCTCCTGTCACTTAATTTATTTATGAACATCCACACATGTTAACAGAAAACAAATGCAATGAACAGAATGTAAGGAAAGCTGTCAACAGATGTTGCTTATCACAATGTTTTAAGGGTAGAATTTTGGATGATTTATTTCTTTGAAACTAGATGGACAAGTCAATAGGTTGATTGATAAACAGCCTCAAGCAACCCTATGATTTTCAGAAAAACTATACTCAAAACAGTAGGAGTGGTCCTCTCTTCGCCTGCATTCTAGATGCTAGGAGGGTTCTTGTCTTGACTTTGAATTTCAGTAGAATGATAATCAAAATGCAGATCATCCAACTTTTAAACTGGCTGTCTTTTGACCCAGGGGATAAGGTGCCAATATGGCTAGAAAACTGCAATAAAAATACTTTGATAAAGTCATGTATATATTTGTTCATTGAACAACAACGAGCTATTCATGGTTTTATTTGGCAGTGAGAAGCTTTTGACTGATGTAGTTTCTTAAATGAAGTTGAATTGATAAATAGACCTTTAATATTAATGGTGACATAGCAGACAGAAACTCCTTGGCTTTGGAGTACTCCTGCTGATAAACTTGTAGGCTTTCAAAGTCTTGATCATCTTGACATATGGTGTGTTAAATATTCCACAGACAATTTCATGTCTGTTTTTGATTGAAGTCCTGCTGTTGTCATCTGATGCACTTCTAAATACGTTCACAAATGAATGATAATCACTTGCCAAGTAGCGAGCAGGTGAAGCTTACTTAGTCACGTGACGCGGTTATTTGTTTGGAGAGGGACAAGAAGGGTCGTTTCTGCTTTCCTTCATGGAGTTAAATCGAAAGGAAAATGCCGGATTTTCCGAGCCAGGTACGTATTTTCATTCCAAAACAGATTTTTTTTTCAGAATTTTGTTTGCTTTTCTTTGAATAAAATAGTCGAAAGCGAATAAAGCGTTCGGCATAAGATGCTGTTTCGATCGTGTCGGGGAAAACGACACGAAAACTAAGCCATATTTTGGGTATGCAATTTATATATATATATTTGAAACTTTTTGTTTCCCTTGTTCTACTCAACATATTCATAAACCTTATTTATTTGGGAAAAAATATTTTTTATTGGTGATTATTTCTTCCTTGATGAAACAAGAGCGCTCTAACTTCGTGGTACCAAATTTGTAACCTGACAAGTTTGCGCTGCAGGTGAACGAAGAATTAGAACTTTCCAGTTAAATTAGTTAAATATCTCTTCCCGCAAACAGTTTTATACACAGTAATACGTATCAAGGTAAAAGGAAAAAGTGTTTTCCACAAACTGGGGATTTTTGTCCGGTAGGATTTATTTTTGCCTTCCGGTCTCATTTTAAATATGCGCAGTTATGTTATTCTTCCTTTGAATTGTTAATGAATAGCGAAGGTAAAGTCGCGTATTCGCTTAAATCACAAAGACACCATAATTTCTCAGATATGTAGCTGTAGGCATTTAGGTGAGAGTAATAATTAGATTACAGTCTCTGCGTGAGGACTACTTGCAGTATGCACACGGAAACCCATTCTATTGAGGTCAAGGTAACACGGCAAGTAGAAGTCTCAGTTTCTTTTCATTGTGTTAGGCCCTTCGTTAGTTTTTTTAGGCAACGATACGTCGAAAGTTCAATAATTTATTCGAATATTCCACTTGACGTTTTCAAGTTATCAGGTCTATTGAATTTTTAATGTGAATTAGTTAAGGTTATGTAAAGAAGGTTCAAAATTTGAAATTCGATGGAACGTAGGGAACGATCACGAAAATTGAAGAAAAAAACACGAAAGCAAAACTTTCGTTAAATTATCTGAGGAATGAGATCGAAATGATTTTGGACGAAGTTTGCTTTTATGTGCTAAGTTGACAGTAAGTCTTCAAACATCAAAAAATGTCGGATGGTTATTTTTTAGGAAAAAAAGGATTAAACAACTTGCTCCTCGACGTTTTATGTTTTATTTTTTCGGGAATTTAATACAGTATTGGTCCAACTCTTTTTCAGCATTCAAAGTTATTGATTCTGTGCTTGTCCATGGATATGGCCACTTAATTTCCAAACATGGGTTTTTTACATTGAAGTTATTTTGATAGATTAATTGGGCTGAAATATCACGGTGGTGGGTGCAGGCAGGAGTGGTGGGGATGGAATAAAAATCAGTGATATTTAACTTCACACTTTGTTCAAAGTTAGACTCATCTTACTTAATAGAAACAATGTTATTACAAATTTTCACAATTTTTTGTTTGAAAAATTGCCATAGAAAGAAAAGAAATGAAAGAAAAGGTAGTGGGATGGGATAATAACAAGACTCGAATAAGTTCTAACTGCAAATAAAATATGGAATTGATCTGGTTGTCTACTTATCAGAGAAAATATGCATTATTTCTTTGTTGGCATTCTACACACACAGTACCATTCGTGAGTACCAGTATGTTTTTTTTTCTGCTAGCTGCTGCGAAGAAAAGAAGGGAAAGTTACACTTGGGAGACATTTTATTTGAAATAACAAAGTTTTTACAAGTGCAAAAGTGCTTAACTTATGATAAGAAAGTTGAGTTGATGATTTGAAAAGTCAAACCAGGGCTCGAAATTAAAAAAAATTCTCGATTGCAATTTGAGAGTAATTCCTAAAATTTAGTGGCAAGTTAAAAAATTTTAGTCGCAAAAGAAATCAACCCAAGAAATTTCATGAGCATTGCACGATTTAGTTTTTAAAAAGTACGCCCGCGGTACGTTTCTCAGCAAGAAATCAACGATAGAAGTCACGCAACATTTAACTTGAATTTCGTAGGATTTTTCGGATAAAACTCTAGCAACCAGTAACAAGTAAGACACAAGGCTGTTAAATATAATTTATTTATAAGCTAGGCTGTAAAAAGGTCGCAAAATCGCTACTAATGGAGGAATTTTAGTCGCAAAAGCGCATTTTTATTCGCAAATGCGCCCGATACAGGCGCAATTTCGAGCCCTGCAAACAGAGGCAGCATGGTCGTTAACTTATTGTGTATTTTGGAGTTTTATATATTTTGGTATAATTGATATGTTCCCTTACCATGTATAGCTAATAATGCATGGTATGGAACAAAATAAAACATCTGCAAATAAGGGATTGTTCCTGATGAATGGCATGGGAAAGTGTTTGCAGACATTTAATTTTTGTGTTGTCTGTTTCAGGTGGCAGGGATGATGAGCATGGTAATGTCTGCATGTTAGACTTGTAGTTTCAGAGTCTTGTCTGACAATCCGTCAGTGATGTACACTTTCAATTCAGCATACACTGAATTAGATAAAACAGGAATATTTTGATTGAATATAAACATTAGCTAGATCAAGCAGGAGATAATTAAAAGGAATAGATACAAATGCATGCTTGTCAATGATCTAACCACTCTGACCTTAAAAATAAATTAATTCCATTTGGTTTGATTTGAGCTCATTACTATAATTTCATTATTTCACCGGCAGGTTCCCCTGAGGAGCGTGGTTTTTGCGACTATTTGCTGACATTATTCTCGTTCTTCATATTTCTCTGTACACTGCCTTTATCACTGTGTTTCTGCGTAAAGGTAGTGACTTTTTTAATATTTATTCAATTCACACACTGGGAACCATTCTGATTTTTTTTCTTCATGAGGTTCACAAAATCATATCACAAAGTCAGGAGAACTTTTAGCAGGTTTATTTCTGTTGAAGTTTTGTTTTAAAGTGTTGTAGTCTTAATCTTTTTTCAAGTTCTGTTGGCGAGCTAATTATATTTATCATATGACCCAATCCAGCCCCTCTCATGCAATCTCATAGAAAACCATTGTAAAAACTGATGTGTGCAAGGCCAAGTGGGTTGATATGAACTGGAAAACACCCTGCTGCCCTCACATCCCTTTGTTGCAAACACAAAACAGAAATAAGAAAAAGTCATGTTTTTTGGGAATGGGAATTTTTTGTTCTGACTTAAAAAAAATAAAAGAAAGTTGTGATTTCAGATTTTTTTATGCTTGTGTGGCTGCGTGTGCCCTTCCAATGCATCTTACTTAAGTTGAAATTTTCAGTATTTAATGTTCATATCATAATGATAAAATGTTTATTGACTGAGTTTGGTCAGACCAAATATATATTCTTCATTACCACAAGGTATTTTTCACTTTGTTGGCATTTCAAATAACTTTTGATTTGTGTTAGAAAATATCCTTGAAAAAATTTTAATTTTGTCCCTATTGTCACATATGTATAAATTTAAAGTATAATAGTTACATATATTGTTTAAAGTCAGAGGAAACTTGTGAATATTGCTGGACTACTTTTTGTTTTCATTCCTTGTCATTTAGATTGTGCAGGAATATGAGAGAGCAGTTATTTTCCGTCTTGGCCGATTACTTCCTGGAGGTGCCAAAGGACCAGGTGAAACTGATGAATCTGTTTGTATTATCATGAATTCAATATTACTGGCCACATTGAAAACTCATTTTTTATGGTACTACATTTTAAATTTTCATTCAGTTGCTTTGATGGTGAAAATGACCTCGAATGTCAGTTAAACTTCAAATTGTTTGTGCAGTTAGATAGAAAAAGTCAAAAATGAAAAAGAGTAAACCAATAATGAGACAAGGTTGGTTAAGGATGGTCAAACTAATTTGGACTCTACTTGATAAACACTAGATCCCAAATCTAACTCCTCTTAACTGATACAGACATAGTACATTTTGAATAGTAAAGCTTGTAACAAAGTTCCGTAAAAATCATTGCATCTGTAGGTTGTGGGATTGACTTTGGAAAACTGTTTATTTTTTAGGAATGTTCTTTATTTTGCCATGTATTGACTCCTACCAAAAAGTAGACTTGAGAGTTGTGTCATTTGATGTGCCACCTCAAGAGGTAAAGAACAAAATGGTGATGCTATTTTATTTACTTGGGAACAGGTAAATGTACCTAGTGGACAAGTATGGTGTATCTGTTAGTGTGGTCTGATCTCTGCTGACAGAAGTTTTGACAAGGATTGTTGTTGGTTGATATTTTAAGCCAAGCAATTAATTAGTATGCCTATTAACTTTAAAACAATTTTGGCAGGTTTTGACCAAAGATAGTGTCACTGTAGCAGTTGATGCAGTGGTATATTTCAGAATATACAATGCAACCATGTCCATCACTAATGTGGAAAATGCCAATCGTTCCACTCGTCTGCTGGCTCAGACCACCCTGAGGAACGTGCTGGGAACCAAAAATCTCAGTGAGATATTAGGTGAAAGAGAAAGTATCAGTGAAACAATGCAGGCAAGTATGTCGTAAATATGTGACTAACTAATCACAAGAAAAACCACTGCAATCCTGTTTACACCCAAGTTTGAGATGCTTCCAATCAACTCCTACTTTCTATCTCTGGTTATGTGATAAAAGTTTTCATTGGTTGGATGCATGTATTGTGTAATTGAGTGACTTAAATCAAGTTGCAAGGAAGTAAGCTGCTCTAGTGTTTTTTTTTTTTTCATTTCTTTGATTTTGAATCAAAGATTGCAGCTGGGTTTGAGGGGCATTAGAAAGTAACTGGTAAAAATGTTTGTTGTTTCAGTTTGGGTGATATGTTGATTTGAGTGAAATTGTGTTGTTCCACAGAGTTCTCTGGATGAAGCCACTGATCCATGGGGTGTGAAGGTTGAGCGAGTGGAAGTGTAAGAACATTTACAATTTTTTTTGTTGGTCTCTTATGTTCTGGTTGCTGTTGTCCTTCCATTATTGCATCTCTGTGTTTTTTGACATTTCTGTTAATGGCAAAGTCTACAGTGATGATATTGTTCAAAAATTCTGCTAAACGTCAGCTTTTCCTGTAAATTTCTATTTTTGATAACCTGTTAATAACTGTTAATTGATTTTTCAAGATTCTGAAATCTCATTTGTGTCTTGTTGATTTTGTCCACAGGAAGGATGTACGTCTTCCTCAACAACTGCAGAGAGCCATGGCAGCAGAGGCTGAAGCTTCTCGTGAAGCTCGTGCTAAGGTACTCAACCTAGGGTTCCCATGCTCGAAAGTCCTTGAATGAAATTTTTAGTTTCCAAGGACTTGAAAACCCTTGAATTTAGACTGAGGTCCTTGAAAATGTCTGAAAAGTCCTTGAAAATAAGTGTAGATCAATCAAAGTTGAAAAAGTTGAAAGTGTAAGTTTCTAGCACAAATTGTGAAAACAAGTTTTCCTTTCAAATCCTGCATCTGATTATGATGTCTGACATGTGATTTTAGTATATTTTGTACCTGATTGGTGCATTGAAAATAACCTTTGTTACTAGCACATGATCACTCTGGTGTGCATACTCAAAGTCACGCTCATTGGACTTTTCAGCTGTCAGCTGGTCCTGTACGCACACTTGTGTTATTGAAATTTAACAATAAAGAGCGATATTTTTTATTTCTATTGGCTCCTATATAATGCTTAAGGTCCTTTAATTTGAGAGCCAAGGTCCTTGAAAATGACCTAAAAAGTCCTTGAAAGTCATTGAATACACCGAATGCAAATATGGCTTCCAATTTGATTTGCCATTGTTCTGGACTGACTAGCCTCGTCTTCACGTGGAAATACAAAAGGATTATTACATGTGTGAGAGGCTAGTCAGTCCATAACAATGGCAACTCAAATTGGATGCCATATTTGCATTCGGTGTATTGGGTTCCTGAAAAAGTGCAAAAACCCTGTCAACCAAGGTTCATGTTTTGCAAAGACATTGCATTGTTTCTTCAGGAACTTTGTATTTCTGCTTAACTTGGAAAAATTACTGACAATTATTGTTGACTAGCCCTGCATTTTCATTACAGTACCAATTTTACAAAAATCCATTCAGATTTTAGCAGTGAATACCTATATCTTGGATTAATGACTACATCATTATCCAAGTTTAAAAGGGAGAAGAGACTTCTCTATAGAAAGCTATCATGATGAGTTGCACTTTTCTCTTCAGGTCATTGCCGCAGAGGGTGAACAGAATGCATCTCGTGCACTGAAAGAAGCTGCTGATATCATTTCAGAGTCACCTTCTGCTCTCCAGCTCCGATACCTGCAGACACTGACAACCATCTCAGCAGAGAAGAATTCCACTGTTATTTTCCCTCTCCCTGTCAACTTTTTGGCCAGACTTCTTCCAAATGAGAACAAATGACTAATTGAATGGAGAAAGTGTTCATCCTTGACTGAAATCAGTATTCTCTGATCGTGAATGGTTATTTACACTGCAAGATGTATTATATATATAGAAATTAATGGACACCACTGTGTATATTAATAAGCAGTAGAAGCAATTAAACATTTATTTAATGTTCATAGCCTTGCAACTTGTCTTGTTGTCAAAGGAGATATAGATTATGATATCAAGTGGTAACCATTATTGTTTCTGATAATCCTTTCTATTTGCAGACATTCTGTAGTGCTATGTATTCCCATAAATGTTATAGATATGTATCCATTCTGCTAACAGTTACCTTTGTACTGTCTTTTTCTAGGAATAAGAATACCAAAACAATAACAATCCTATTTTCAGGAGTTTTTTTGAGCATGTGATTATTTGATCTTATCTTAGTTGCAAGGCAACAGGAAGCTTTTCTTTTGGTGGTTTTTGTTTTTCAATCCCCTTTAAATTCCCTAGTAGTCTTGTTATTCAAGGTTTTGGTAATAGTCTTTTTATTTAGACTGGTGATTTGGAAATATATGTGTTTCAAGACAGAGTGAAAGAAATGTCAAACCTTCAGGAGAAAATTGAATTTTCTATAGTCACTGTGGTTAATTATGGTTTATTACACTAATGTATAGCTTTATCAAATGAAATTAACATTAAAATTAAAGTACCCATATCAAAGGTTAAGGTGCTGAATAAAGAGTACTCATCTCAGAGATAAGATGCAATGGTTATTTGTAAAACATTGAAGTGGGGTGAGGAATTAGAATTATGGCTTGCTAGGCTGTAGATACTTTCAACAACCGTGATTCTATACCAGCGTCTTACTGGATTATGGGAAAATGCAAACTTGTTTCATATTAATCAGTTTTTGAACAATTAAACGATCACTTGCATCCGATGATCCCACTCCTCTTTGGGTGGAAAGTAGCGTGAGCAACGACTAGCGCACACTTTCTCACCACATTAAGGCCCTACACATTTAACAGCAATTTCTCTATAGTGGGTCTTCAAAAGCAAAAAATTTGAACGTGTTATTTCCATTTTTTAAAAGTCACACTGGGCATATGACAAGGAAATTCTTGGCTTCGTTTGAAACACCCTATTCTTCGCCCTCATTTACGCAAGTGTACGCTAGATGTGTTAAACACAAGCTGTGTGAAGCTATATTTGATGACTTCAACTGAAGAATTTAAATCTTGGTGAATTTACTAGAGATTGACTTAAAAGTCAAAAGAAGGCAGAGAGATCACTAAAGAGAGAACCGATTGATGACTCTTTCCCCTTTGGATGGATGGATGACCTTTATTTAAACACGATAAAAAATCAAAGCTATAAGCTTTAAGTTGTTGATGAATACAGTCTTACTGAACAACCATGATGAAATTGATGTGCACATTTTACTAACTCCTGGATCTTAAAAACTTTTGAATTAATTGACCACACCAGCCACTGATGATCACCAGGATGATCACACAACAGAAACATCCTGATCTGTACTTCAACCTTATAGTCATCGCAAACAGGTATGTAAATTTAATGAGACGCATATCTGTGTGAACTCTGGCTTTCAATATTGCACATCTGGAGTCATCTTTGGGGGCTGCCATATTGCCATTGTTACTGTCGTCACGCACTGATTTCATCATCGCCGGTCGCGAATGTCTACTTGTGTTTATTTTTGTCTGCTGGAGTGTAATGAATGTTATGGTACTAGACAACAATCAAAATAATATATTACCATATAGGAGTAGGTTCCTGCAGATGCCAAAGGTTGAAATTCAAGGACTTTTCAATGACTTTGAAGGCCAAGTTTTAGAAAATTGAGGGACCACTTTTGGAAAGGTTTGCAGAAGCAATTTTAAAATTATTTAATATTATTTCTCAGCTTTTCCATGAAAGTGCTGTAATATTCAACTTCAAAATTGCCAAACAAAAAGCATTGCAAAAATCAAGCCTCAGCCCTCAAATTGAAGTACTTTCAAGGCCTTGAGTTTTTAAGTTTTAAATTCAAGCATCTTCAAGGACTTTCAAGGCTTTTATGAACCCTGAGTGGGTAATGTATTTGTCTTTAGCTGCAAGAAGGGATTTTTTTTTATCTATTATTGGTACCAAGTCATAGTTTGTTGCCAAATTTTCACCCAAGCAGAGTTGTCAGAAATCAGTAGATCGAAGCAATAGCACTGAAAAATCTCTTAATTAGGAGCATTTGACTTTCATTACATCCAAGAGGGAATAAACATATTTTGACCTTTTCGTGGGTTTAAAAATACTTGTCATAGAAAAGTGTGAAAACCACATCAACAACCATGTGCATTCAACTATTATTTTTTACAAGATTTTTGAGAATTGATTTGCTGTCAACTGAATCAGACAATATTCCTTCACTGTAATCACTTTTAAGAACTAAACTTCCTTCAGTTCCACAAGCATCAGTTTTTGGCAAATCATCTGACAGTAAATACTTGTTCAAAGATGAATTTTCATAATCTTTTGCCATACTGAATGACATTAGATAAGATGTTTGACTATTCCAATAACTACGTGATTTTATTACGGAGTAGCAGAGTGAATAGACACCCACAACACAATTCACATTGAACTTTCTGGTTTCACAGGCATGACTGAAAATGGGCACTATTTTGAACTTTTTCAATTTTAACCCCTTTCAACTCAAATATATCGTTATGTATACTCTTAAAATAATGTACTAAGCTATTCAGTGATGATACTTCAATCAGCACACATGTACCTTGAGAATGGCTTGTACCATAAATATCCCTTGCATGAGAATCGAATATTTTCAAGCCAACATTGCCTTTACAATAAATAGCGACTGCAGTACATCCTATTGTCAAGACAAAATTGTTGAAATGTTTGGATTAAGTGATTGAAAGGCTCTATCTAAGGAGGTACAGTACTGCTATCCTTCCATTGTAACTTTCACTGTATTGAAGTTCATAGTCAGTCTTAAACACATTTAAAAGTATGGGTAATTCTGTCTGCATTAAAAATAATTGTCTGGTTAACTGAGACAAACTTGAATACAACTGATTTCCAATATTGATTATGGACACCTGATCATTCGTAGAATTGATTCCTTGTTTGTTATGGTAAATCAAAGAGCATAAACTCATTGCAACACATTGTTGTCCTGAATTTTGTCCAAATGCCAACTCATTAGCTTGGCTATATGGTGCCCTTATTATTTTGCTGAGGTCAATGTACATTGGAGTAGGACCAGGGTTTTTCTCTATGTCTGAACTCAGTTGAAATTTACAATAGTTTAATACGTGTGCCTCACTCTTACAAAGACACACGGGTCTGTAACAAGAAAACATTGATAAATACCGACTTCCTCKATACTTCAATTTAATTATCCTTTGATATACCCTCACAGAACAATTCAACAAGTACTTCTCATGTTGTGTAACTTTATTTAATCTTACCCTCTTCGTATTAAGCTTACTTTCTTTTTAACTCTTCTAACCTTCACATAGTGACGTAACCAAGAGGAATTCGGTATGCTTGGACGAAATTATACGCTTGTAAACAAATTCCTTCAGTTTTCTGCCCTTTAATCTTCTGAGACGTTTCAGAGCAGCTTCGTGTACTCTACTGGGTTCTCGATTACTTCTAAATACATAATTTATGTATGGGGTTATATGGTACTCTTGCCTTGATCTCTTGTAAAGTTCGCGGCCGGCCCGTTTCCAAAACGCTCCACAACTTTTAGTGTGGGTCTACCGATAACGGTGTGTGACTTTCTAGGTATATTGAGCGTAATAGCCATCTTACGCGTACCTCAAGCAAGCACAAAGGCAGCCACAGGTGTTTTCTGAGACAGACAGGCAGTCATGGAACGCAGGGCATTGTGGTCTAGATTCAGTACAAATAAACCCGCGAAAATGAATGCGGAAGGGAAAAAGTTTCACAACTGCGCTTCTTATCATATATAAAAACTTTTCTAAAATGAAAAATGACGAACTGGGTGCTTTTCTTCAAAGACGAGGTATTCCCTTTCACGGCAGAAGAAAAAAGGAGTGAATAATAATCGCTCAAGTAGCAAAGAATTTGGCTTTTCCTCCTCGGCCGACACCAGTACCAGACGAGCTTAGAACGAGCGTTGTTAACGACAAAGAAAATCTCTTAAGCATAGAAAATGGCATCATGAAGCTTCCAGATCCAGAGAAATTACTCTTGGGATGGCAATCGAAACTTGATAATCTTCCCAATATTTCAAGTGTAGGAGTTATTGCTTACATCGACCAACCTAAGTTTAAAAGCGCGCGTACGTATACTGCTGCCTTACCAGTGTTTTTTAGTGTGTATATTGACAAATTCTCAATTTAGATTCTTTCAGTTTTAGGACTAAAGCTATTCATTATGAATGCTGACACTGAGCGAGCTAAAGCACTCAAAGCTGGTGAAAGTCTTCTACTCTCTGGCCATGTTAGGAACGTGGAAATGCACAGAATCAGTCCAAATCTCAAGTACTGTTTTATTCGAGCTGTTGTCAATCCAGCAATGACTAGAATTAATGATTCTTACAAAGTGTCGCTGGTTCTTCACAAAGAAACATCAAAAGTTGAAGCAGCATATTGTGCATGTTCTTAATTAGCTCTTATGATAACATTATGTCAAAATATCACCTTACTTGTGTTTCAAGTAACCGGTGTTACTCAAAGTTTGTTGAAGTTTCTTCACACTGTAATACAATTTGTTCTTTTGTGCATTTTGTTTTATTGTTATTATTGCGTATTTAAAGTGCATAAGCCACGAAATTTTTTTCTCTTGTTTCTTGTAGTTGGATATCTATAGAAAACGTTTCGAAGCCTTAAAAGTGCTGGGAAAATCTAAAAGGCATTTTTTTGCTTTCAAAATACGCGCGATTTGCCTCCAAATTTGTCCCGGTCATCGCGCGGTCAAAATCGCACGTGACGTCAAATTGTGTACCCAGATTCTTCGAAGTCTATGGAAGTTGAAGTTCATTTATTGAGTTATTTTTTAGTTATTTTTTTAAGAAAAAATAACTATTTGTTTTTGCCATTAATTATTCAGACACCAGCATCAGCTATATAGTGTCCCATTTCAACCTACGTATCCAAAAAAATAACTCCTGCATGCGTAGCATGCCTATGTTTTTGAGTTATTTTTGAGTTATTTTTTTAAAAAAAAAATAACTATATGTTAGCGTATAGATTGGTGTATTGTGGTGTAGTGTAATCTGATCAGCGCAATTTGGTGTATCTCTAAGCAATCTGATTGGCGCATCTTTTTTTTGGTGTTTGTCAAGGCAATGTGAATGGCGCAATTTTTTGGTGTATCACAAACCAATCAGATTGTAGTATTTTCCTTTGTCGCACCAGTCAGAGCGTTCTTGCAAATTTATGGTTTGACAGGTCTTCAAATTTCAGCGAATCAACGCGTGAGTCGGAGAGATCGGTTCGCGAATTAAGGAAATGTATCAGTCGTGTTGGGAAAGCGGTGGAGTTGTGATCGTTGTACAACTATGCTTATTCTCCCTTCTGGAAAAGACTGAGTGGAACATGAGAAAAATTTTGAATGAAATATTACTTCAGATGTTGATAGGAGCAACTTCAGGATATTTTATTGCTATATATGAGTTAATCAGTGATTCCAATTTTGAATTTCGCTCAAGGAACAAGGTAAGAAGACGTCTACAAGAGCTGTAAGATCATCTATTCAATGTAATGGCTCATGTCCTTCGTGAGGATTTTATCGTTAGGATCTGTCTGGATTTGAAAGATCGTCAGGGAACTTTTTCTACCGATTAGCGAGTTAAAACGTGCATGTTTTGTGTACCGCTCCTTCACTTACAACGCACACACCGTCAGCTAAAGACCTAACACGAATTTAGCGCTATAGCATGTTGTTTTGGAAGGGCTACTTGGTTGAAACGACCACCAAGTTACATTTACTTTGTGTCGACTGCCACGTTACATATCCGTTTCTTTGCTTCTAAAAGTCCTCCATGAATTAAATATTGTGTAAACGATACTTTCCCGTTACAACTGCGTGTTTACTTTTTACTCGCCAGTATGGATTAGATTTTCTTAGATGAAATGCCATTTTTTAGTAAACAACGTAAATTTTATGATATAAATCTACCTCAATGTAAAATATTTCACAAGGGACAGAATGGTACGGTTGGTTAATTTACCACGCAACTCTCACGTGCTTAGACGTTTTCTACCAATAAAATTCGCTTATAGCTAACCTGGACTTTACCCTATTGCGTGTCAATTTCCTGTAAACAACCTGCATTTTAACACGTATTTCGCACGCAAAGGGCAAAAGTCCAGATAGGCAACAACCAATCAAGTAGCCCACCTTTTTATCCTTTGAAGAATGATACTTTCTCTTGGTTCAATCTACTTTCACTTGTTCGAAGAACGGAGACCGGAAAATATCTTTGTCCAGAGACTGTAAGAGATAAAATAGAGCTTTCCACTGCTTAAATTATATGTAAGAGTATTTTGAGGCAACCATCTGTTACTGAACAAGAAGCTACACGGAGCCTATATTTGGGCCGGATTTGTGGATCAGCGGATTGAATTGAATTGGTTCGAATTGAGGGCTTTGCTGTTTTAGCAAAATCGCTGCCGAGTGCTTTTCATGGTTTGTTAACATGGAGAGTTATGGAGACGAAGACTCCGGAACTAGTTGATGCCATCCATGACAATTTGGAATTACTAAAATCGCCGGAGGAAAGGCAGGATCACTCAATAAAAATTTGCATTTGAACGGGAGGACTTTATTTACAAGGATTTCTCTTGCTTTCATCTAATAACAAACCTTTCAAGTTTTTTTTGCCTCGGAACGATATATCACAGAAGGCATTTTATAGACCTCAAGTTTTTTGACTGATTGAAATTAAAGGTATGTGGCAGTGACTTCCACAAGTTTTTTTTTTTTGGTGAGAAAAGTACAATTGTTTTCA